CCCCCCCCCCCCCCCCCCCCCACCATTTTTTTCGATACCGCTTTCCCTTGTGGTATCCTACGTAACAAGCTGAAAAAGTATGGGACATTTCGTTTTAGAAATGACATGAAACATTACTTCCCGCCTTAAGTTAACTGGGTTCAATAAGCTTACGTCTTTTGCCAGGAAGTGAAAAATGTAAACAGCGTGTGACTAATATCGCTATTGTATCCCCACATGATTAGTGCGATAAGGAAATGCTTCGAGGTGATCACGATTCTTTGGAGAAGTTAGGCCATTTTGGGAACAATATAAATGCAGTTGCGACAAAGTAGCTTGCACTTTACTTCCTTGTCGGCCAGAGGTATCATTTCACCCCTTATAGTCACTGTTGACAATGTAAACCTTCAGTTATCAAGAGACTCTGTGAGTTGAGAGTGTGCACCCAAGCAAATCTTTTGTATAGACGTTGGAATGTGTACAAGATCTTTTCTTTTTTAAACATTGCTGCAGTTCTGATTTTAATTTTATATTCGCAAACAAATTAACTTTATACATGTATTTTATTTTAATTATCGGTAAATGCCGCTGATTTCAGTTTATCAAACTTGATAAAATAATTTTTTTTTTGCTTAAATTTTAAATTAAAATAAACCAATGCTTTTGTCAAGATTCAGCAACACACTTCTTGGCAACGACGTGTTAAATAAATCGATCAAAAACGACTAATGGGCGTGTCTATAATCATATTCATTTAAATAGATCCAACCCTATTTTTGTAATATAAGATTAGTATAAATTTGTGTTTTAAATTTTAAATGAAATTCACTAACTGGTGGTAGATGTTGTTTGTAAAACGTAAACATTTTGTAATGTATATGTTCTCGGTTTGAGGAACACTTCAGCAACTTTGGTGTCAGTTGGTGTTAGTCGAGAAATGCAAAAGGCCATTGTCAAAAAAAAAATATATGTCCACTTCCACAATATTCCTTTTTTTATAATGCATTTGAACGTTTCTTCTGTTAATACATATTACATCCCTATTAAATGTTCAGTTTGTCTGACTATACATTAAATAATGGCCCCATGGTTTTGTGTGTCCAACAGTTCATGTAGTGGACAGCATTACGTTACGACAATGAGCTGTCATTACCTTGTGCTGGTCGGTGTTATATGGTTACTAAAGGGAGTGGAATATGGAACAGGACAAGCCACAGAAGGTAGGAGTATTTTTATTCTAACTTATTTGAATTGACAAAACTATATTTATATATTGCCAAGCTTACCATTAAAGTTCAAGCACAGGGGTTTACGTACTGTTATCAGTATGGAGAAAGTAAACGCTCTAAAATGGTACACAGCAAAAGACGTTACCAGAAATTAAATACAATAGCAAAGACAACGATACCTAAACTAGGGCTAATTAAAATTAATAAATTTTATTAAGTTAATAATACATTACAAATCCAAAAATAAATCAAATTAAATCTATTGACTTACACAATAATGGTTGGCGTGTATCAGTAAAATGTTGAAGAAGATACAATGTTTTAAAAGGTACAATGATGAAAAAAGGAATCTACAAAAATATATCAAATGTTTGTAAACAAGTCTCTGTCTCCTATAGCAAATCTCCATCGTAATAGCGATATCCCCAAAATCTCTCTCTATTCCTTCCTTTTATTGTCTGTTGTACTGAGATTTCTAGAAAGGGCTTAGACATTGTTTTCCTTTCCTGATCTATTTAGTATTTTTTTCTACAGAATTCTAATAATACAGTGTTTAATTGTATACAAGGTCAAGGAGACTATTTTTTATTTAGTCACACCCTAAAAGTGGCACCAAACTTGAGGTCAGCTAGAGTTCATTCACGGGGAAAGATGACGTAAACACATAATCTACATTACATAGGGTAAATAACCCGCAAATAAGGTGCCATGAGAACTGATGCATCCAAGTTAAACATTTGTTAGACATTAGCAAAGTAGTTTAGCTGTGTATCTCGTATAGCGTCGGAATCTATAAGACGTTCCCTTTTCTATCTTAATATATAACACACATACTTTTTATCTTTTAAATAACCATGAAATTTCCCTACGGACTTTTAGTTGAATATCAAGGGTGTGCTCTCTCTACAGACTATCTAAATATTCATTCGCAGGCCTGCTGTGTCTTCAATGGAACATTAGAAACAATACTTATAAAAGGCGGAATACCTTGACTATTCAAATTTAAATTATGTGGTGTGGTTCTTAGTAGCATTCCCAGTTTAAGGCTTACTCCCTTCAAGTTAATTCACCCTCAAGCTAATACTCCTTTTTCTTTATTATTTTGTTTTATCTTTGTGTTTTTTCTTAGAAATATGAGTTCAGCCAAAACGCCCGATTCGTTATTTTACTTTTATTTGGAGCTTCCTGTGTCTAATACTTCTTTAGCACGACTTGAACTTAGTCTCTATAATACGCTAAGTCAATATGTCTTAACTCTAAGCTTGACACTGGTTTATGGTGGTAACCCTCTGATGCATTTATCATGCGTACATGTGTAATATAATATTCTTTAAAAAATAAGAATTCGATTTTTTTTTTTTAACATATTTTTTACTGGAGTGTTTCCAAATGATGTTATAGCTGCATGGAATCTGCAATATGGCTGCCGTAGTAATAAGCACTCACACAAAAACATGTATTTCGTGCCAGTTCATACTGCTTCTTTAGATATCAATGGTTGTTTTTAAAAAAAAAATCCAACCTAAGGGCATTATTAAAATAAACGAATGCTTTTAATATAACAGTTAACGTATTAAGCTACTGAACTTGTAGGCTTCTTCTTATTATTAAACGCTCCTAACATTATATGACAGGATGTGGAAGGAAACTATCATCTCAAGCAGGAACCATTGTTTCACCGAATTATCCAGACAACTACCCAGATCCAATGACTTGTACTTGGACAATAACAGTTGCAGAAAATCAGATAATAACACTCAAGTAATGACATACAAGTTTCTTTGGCACTATTGTAATGTTATTTTAATATACATCATTCATAAAACACCTTTCCTCATATAGGTTACAGGGTGTCGTGTTAGAAATAATGTGCAGTAAGCCTATAATATGTTTTAAAGATAAATAGTTTGTACATCTTAACTTCTATTGGTTAATCTTCAAAGTTTATTGTTTCACGTAAATAAATTGGTTACCGGAAATTTGATCTAAAGTAATTTCGTCGACGGTAAATTGATCGAACGGTAATTTGGTAATTTAACACGTTAAAATTTTCGTCAAATTTCTTTTTGAACGCACAATACTTTATAGTAAAACAAAATAATGCGTTCAAAAAAGAAATTTGAAAGAAAATTTAAACGTAAAAACTGAAGAAAATAAAATGATTCCACCAAATTTCCGTTCGATCAAATTACCGTCGATCAATTTACTGTCGACGAAATTTCTTTCGATCAAATTTCCGGATAAGAAATAAATTAGTTACACAAAGCGTTAGACTTTATTTTGTTTTAACACTGATATTTCTGTAACATTTCGAGCCTCGATGTTAATATTCCTCTTCCCCCACCAACCCCGCACTTATTTGTAAGGTTCATTCTTTTTCTTTTAAAATGTGTCCAGGTTCCATAACTTTGACGTGGACGACACAGATACGGTCACGTTTTACGACGGAGACAACTCTAACACACCAGTGATCAATGGACAACAGACCGGATACTGGCCAGACTCCAAACTTTATGAGTTTCGTGTCCGTACATCGGGGCACAGCCTGCATATCGTGTTTAACGCCCGGGGGCCTCCCTCGGGGCCAGGATTCACCCTTTCTTATTGGGCACACGGTATAAGTCTTAGCCTATACAACATGAACTTTAACTTCAGTTGAAGTCGATTCAAACTTTCTTTTTGGGCACACGGTATCGTTGTAAACTGCACGAACTTTTTCTTTAGTTGCAGTTGAAAAAAAACAACACCAAATATGTATATTTTAATATGCCTGGAAGAAAAACTTAAGATAGTTTGTTTTTTTAATATAAAACGATGTTATCAATTATAATTTTGGGGTTTTCTTTTTTGGTTCCTTTTTAAAGCCAAATTATATTTTTTAGAATTAATTATTTTGAGACATAATAAATCATCAATTCCCATCGTTAATATTCTTTAAATCAGGCTAAGCTCAGTCTTTCAAATATCTGTAAGACTACTAATTTTTTTTTTTTTAAATCCAGAGTGTCCCCCATTGACCCACGGCGTTGACTACTGTGATCAGAACTGCACGTGCGATAAAGAAAGGGCATCCTATTGTAACCCAAACACAGCGGCGTGCGTCTGCAAAAGTGGTTGGAGGGGTGCATATTGTCATGACGACGTCAACGAATGTGACAATTCTTACATCTGCTCCAATCCACAAACTCACTGTGTTAACACACCGGGAAGCTTTTCTTGCGTATGCAAGGCAGGACTACGCCTGGACTCAAACGGACAGTGTGTCTGTAAGTCTCTTTATAGAGAATATTGTTTAAGAAATTAAGGTCGCTAATAAAACACGTAAGCTCCAATTATATAGCAACCCCTCAGTTATTCAGATTTTAATAAAGAAAATTATTTTCATTGCTTACTTTGGTTCATGGGTAATATTGTAAAAATTTTATGTCAAACTCGTAGTTTAAAAAAAAAAAACATGAAATAAATTTCATTTTATTCGATGGATTTCAACAATATGAAAACTTTATCAAAAATGCGAAATAAATTTAAATTAAGCAACTGATAGGAAAGATAGGAAATTAATAAAACAAAATAAAGTCAAACTTTAAAAAATAATGCAACTAAACAATGAACGTGTCGGCAGGAAGCCTTCATCAGCGAAAAGACAACATAAAAAACGAATTAAAATAAAATTTAAAAATAGCACTTAGCTGAGAAGTAGTATCCGAGAGGGCGGCAAAAGAATGAATGGAAAGAAATAAATTCCATGACGAAATAGAAGAAAATGATGGAGTTCCTAATATCTGTAAAAAAAAAAAAACCCCGGTTAAGATCTGAATAAGATCACAGTAAGATTTAAGCATTTTGAACATTCGTCTTTCACATTTAAGAAATATAGCACACATGCCAGGGGAAAACCCGAAGACGGGCAACGCAAAGAAACGGACGTTTTGGTGGAGTGACTCCACAGCAACTAAACAACCCTTGAGAACACAGTTTTTCGAATAAATCATTGAAATGCGTTTTTGTCTGCGTTCATGTAATTGTTCGTGATTTATCATTTGTTAAGAAGCGGTCGTGTAAATGGCGTCGAGAATGGGAGTTCACTAGCAATTGTTGCGCACTGGATATGGTGTCTGAACACCGAGGATCGGCGTGATCAAGTTAAATACTAGTCATTGTCACGGTCAGATCGCGTGAGTTTTTCTGTGTCAGCTTTTATGATGTTAATTTGACCAATAGTGGGTGAGTTTCTTTTCCCCGTGTGACCCACGAGTTTTTATTTTTCCCGGTCAGGTATGACCAGTGTGCTGTGTCGGGAGGAACCACGTGATGAGAGGAGTGTGTGAAAAAAAAAAAGGGGGGAGATGAGTTGTTTTAAGGAGTGAACAGTGGCGAGTGCTGTGGATAAGGTGTATGATTTTTGTCTTTTGAAGACAGTGAGTTTTCTATGGATGGAGGTACACTTGTGTAACTATATGTTGTATGTGTAGTTTGGTTTCTGGACACGTTTCTATTCTGAACACCAGAGCTTATTTCTTATGATGTTTTCCACTCTTAGGCATATTTAGCCAATAAATAAGAAAAACCTGAATCTCTGCATCGTTTGTTTGATACTTGGAACAAGAGTCACATCAGCTCTGTAGGAGCTAGAAAGAAAGGGGTTCTAGACCCTTGAAAATTGTTCGTGACTAGTACGCAGGGGACCGACCTCTAGACAACGTACGTCACGTCACAGTCATAATAGAACGAAAAATAAAATTGTGTGATGAAAAGGTTTCCGCTTAGAATATTAATGATTTACTCACCACTCTACACAGACAACGTTGCGAATGTTCTGAGTAAGTCGTCGAACATGCAGATGAGACAACAACAAATAATTATTACAATTTTCCATATTTTATTTCGGCAATTTCCGGTATAAATAAATGGTATTATAAGTTAATTCCGATGGGCTAACTATTTATATCCTTAATATTTTTTTTTTAAGTCCGTACAGCTCATTCAAAAATTGGACAATAATCAATAGCTCATCGTGTAATCACGTAATCGGATAAGCAGGCCTAAAATTTCCAAAATTTTGAGTAGGCCCAGTGCAAGTGCACCACTTGAACCAAGATTAATCTGCGGCCCTGTGATGGCTCTATCTCCATGTGACAGTCATCAAATTATCAATGGCACTACATTCCATAAAGCGTTCATGGGCTGCATCACAACATCTTATGATCATTCCGCTCCTATCGTTCCACGACCGTACGTCTCCACGCACGGGCCCGAGGTTGATGTGAATCCAACTCCACGTCATCCATCCATCTCAGTCTCGGTCTAACAATGAACCGGCTACTTCGTGTTTTCGGTCTCCATATCCCTTTTGTCCCCGTTAATCCGACACACTATAGAGGTTTCTTGTACATCTAATAAAATTGAAGTTGATTAGATTCAATTTTTTTATCTTGTTTATTGGTACTTTCTTAGGTTCTCGCTCTCCCTATCTTGATATTAATTTGTCCTTTGGGTAAGTTATTAGTTGCAACTTCAAACCAAACTTTTAATCTTCTTGTCACATCTTAATTTTTTTCAATTGTGCCTGCATGGATGACCAAAACTATTTATTGTTTAAATATATATATTTTTTTTTAAAATTAAGCCTGACTCAATCCAAAGTTGCCGTTCATATCAGTACAATAATGATTCAACTGATTTTCATGGCTTCACAGCATCCTGCACAACACAGCCCAGTAAATGCTCCCATCTATGTGGTGTCGTGTCAACCAATCCATACACAGAACAGTGCTCATGTCCTAACGGAAAGCAATTAAACTCAACCGATAACCACTCGTGCGATGGTAGGCAACTTTTGATGCATTTTTTTGCCTTTTTTTTTTTTTTTTAATTTAAAAACTCATAATATTTAAATGAGAAATAAAAGACAACATAACAATTAAGAAGTAAACCAATTAAAAATTTAGTTAATTTTACTTGAATTTGGAAAAAAAATTATTTTCAATTTAGTTAAATTTTGTTTGCACTCATATATTAATTATTGATGCTCATGTCCTAACGGAAAGCAATTAAACTCAACCGATAACCACTCGTGCGATGGTAGGCAACTTTTGATGCATTTTTTTGCCTTTTTTTTTTTTTTTTTAATTTAAAAACTCATAATATTTAAATGAGAAATAAAAGACAACATAACAATTAAGAAGTAAACCAATTAAAAATTTAGTTAAGTTTACTTGAATTTGGAAAAAAAATTATTTTCAATTTAGTTAAATTTTGTTTGCACTCATATATTAATTATTGGCACTGTGTTCTGATATAGACTTATTTTCTTCTCCATTTGCTTTCTAGACTGCAAAGATTGGCATTATGGAGAGGACTGCAAACACCTAAGTAGCTGTAACAGAGAAAACACACGGTATTTGAACGTAACAAATGGACTGTGCTCCTGCTACTTAAACTGGACTTCTACGGATTGCAATGAAGATTTCAATGAGTGCACCATTACAACAGCCTGCAACTCAACCTACCAAGACTGTTTCAACACAGGAGGATCCTATGAATGCAGACGACGCCCAGAAGTGGTCAACACAACTATGTGCAATGGTAAATAATACGAACACCTACGTTCGGGCAACTGTTTTCCATGCATGCAATTATTTTAACTTACTATAGTGAGAAAATCTTTATTGAAAACTGTCCCATGGGTCAATTCGTTCGGAAAATGAGGTAAATAAATTTTTACAGATAATTAAGTAAATTTTTTTTACAATAAACTTTACTTTGATTTTGGAGAAATGTAATCAATCATCAAAGAAAGTTTGGACAGTAATTTATTTTCCTTTTTTTTTTTTAGTTCTGTTTTCAGAAATGTAATTTACTAAGAATAACATGAAAATGTATCGATACGTTTGGACAATTTAAGCTGTTTTTTTTTACAATATACACATGTTATATTGCTATTTTGGCCTTGGCTACATTATTTTAACCACAATTCTATAGGCTACATTTCTGTAGGCCCCCATCCCACTTCTTTTGTACTCCTGGTCTCCAAAATATAGAATTTCACCCTTCAGCTGAGCTTGTTATTTCCAGAGTGCATCAACACACTGACGAACAGGACGGGAATCATTTCCTTCGATTACTACAGCACAAACTGTTTCAACAACAACTACAACAAAATTAAACAGTGCTCGTGGGTTATCGAAGTGCAGAGTAATCACGTTATAGATTTGAGGTTTGTGGAAATAGCGTTGGTTTTCAGATAACAATTCTTCTTAACATCATTTTGGTTTTTTAAAATAATTATGATGCTTCCTTGTATTCTGTATCCATCTCGGGGGTGATCCAAGTATTCCAACTACGAAGATCTCACAACACACAATTGTACATCTTGCTTACTATCAACATTCACAAAATAATACATTTATTTTATTTCATTTACAATGTATGTAACTCAAGATCCAAATCTCTATACGAAACAAATGCTATAGATTGTGTTGCCTTTCATGGATGTGTTCAAGTTAAAGAAATCAATCTTCCCAAACTTTCTGATGACGACTGCCGGCAGCATTGCCTCACCAAAATTAAATATCTCTCCCTCCCCCCCCCCCTGCCCACCCCCCAAGATTTGTATAATTTATGAAATAATCTCATAATTGCTACTGAGCCAAATCTATCAGTGCTCCTAAATCTTGAACGCGTCCGTGCTATTGCAAACGGTGCACGGCTCCAGTCGACATGTGATAATAGCAATGACAATGGTGACATGATGTCGGCCTAGTGCTTGTAACATAATTGATCTTTCAATAGAGGAAAAAGTATTCATAGTCGAGTATGATTTTCTCTCATACGTAAGTGATTACGCGATCGTAAATGGGGACCCTGATTGAAAAAACAAAACGGCAGCAAAAAGAAAAAAAATTCCGAGCATGAAATTTAAATAGATTGCACCAAGTAGTAAGGGAAATCTGGTCAACTAGTAAAATGTTCGATGTACTTAACTTACATATGAGCTCAGTTATTAATACTTTTTTTTAATTCGTTGAGAGACTCATTTTCAATAACAGCCAATATATAAATTATAATATTATAATCCTTTTCATTTCTATGATCCCATGTTCGTATGACTTTTGAGGAACACACAAATTCCGTTCATAATAAATGAGTTTCAGTACTTATAATTTTTTGACGCATACTGTATTTTTTTTCTCACAGATTCACAAATTTCCAGCTATCCTCTTCATCGGGCTACGTTCGAATCTATGATGGTCGCAATGAAACAGCGCCATTGTTGGGACATTTTGATGGCTATAACTACAGCAACAGCCGTTTGCCCAGCAACTATATCAGATCATCCGGACATCAGATGTATCTTGTTCGTATCGATGATTTTTCTGGAACTTTCGTGGCTACATACATTTCCCACGGTGAGAATAGAACAGAGTGATCATTTAGGTCAGAATGAATATGTGTTTAAATAAAATCTTGTAAAAAAAAACACTATTTAGTAATGTATACCATACCATGATACCAACAGCTTTTTTTTTCAATTTAACTTTAAACGCCAAAGTACTCTAAATGTATTGAACATACCATATACAATGTTGGATATTTCAGTCTAAAACAGTTCTTTGAAGAGATCATTAAAATCTATTTAATATTTTATTTGAACAAATTCGTTTTTTTATAAAAATTGTTAATTAACATGAAAACAAGAAGAAAAAAAACTTTATAAAGATAATTATCAAAGAGGTATAATATATGTCATTTAATTCTTCTTTTTTTTTCATTACATGTGATTATCTTTTTCAAACTTGACCTTTTTTTCTTTAAATTTCCTTAAATTGTAAATATTTAAGAATAGCATTAGTTTTTTTTATATTAAAATAATAGTTTTCAACACATGCAACCCCCAACAAATAACTGAAACTTTCCCCACCAAGAGAACACACAATACTCTAAGACCGTGTTTGACGGTGATTTCTTAATGCCACTTCCCATCAATTGGGATGCATGCAAAATTTACAACACTGGAAAGGCAATACAAGAACACTGTAATGCGAAACATATACTAACATTCTTCCCACTAAATCTTAGAGGTCGGGTAGAAGATATCGAGATAGCTGAAGGTCCAGAAGACTCGACAAGGACCATCCAAATAGAAAAATGGTTTGAGGATGGATACAAAAAAATAGAATTCAAGATAAAGCAATAATAGTTGTGTCCTCTGAAAGGGAAGAGAAACACCACCTACCAACAGACAGAGCAGATGGCAAATCATTGCAAAAGACCTATCCCAGATCAACATTTACAAATGGCGTTTAAAAAACAGACCTAAGCAAAAAGATACAAAACGAACTGGATGGCCATATATTTGAGCCAGTTTCCTCCGTTAGGTACCTCGGTGTTACCATTCAAAGAGAGGTCAGCTGGGACGAGAATATTAACAATGTGTGCAACCAGGCAATAAAGACACCTAGGGTTCCTAAGGCGAAATTTGGAGATCGGCAACACCAATGTGAACGAGAGAGCCGATAAAGCCTTTGTCTGGCCACTTTTAGATTACGCTTCTTCAGTTTGGGGCCCATTCACCCAGAAGAGCATCGACAGGATGGAGGCGGTCCAACGACGGGCAGCACGCTTTGTTCTGAGCCGCTACAGAAACACCTCTAGTGTTGGAAGCATGCTGGAAACACTGGGCTAGTTACCATTGGAGGATAGACGATGATTATCCAGGCTCTCCATGGTGTTCAACATAAATAATGGGCTGATCCACTGCTCCAGCATTAAACAAAAACTCGTCCCTTTCCTCCCTTGACAGCAACGAGGCCATGACAGGGAGTTCCGGCTCATAACAGCAAGAACACAACACATGAGCTGCTCATTCCTGCAAAAGACAATCAGGGACTGGAACAAGCTTCCAAAAGGAACAGTTGAGGCTAGGACACTTTACACATTTGTGTCTATTGCCTCAGGCCTTCCAAACCCAAGTTCCCGATAGCCTCGCTGAGCGTCCCTTGCAACCAGTGAAATATCAACTTCAATCCCGGCATAGAAACATTGCAAATAGGAGCCAGAATGATCAATACATTGATCGTGTGACCTTAATATATAGAAGAAGTAGAAAAGAACAGACCCCGTCCACACAATGCTAGCTGCAGAAAATAAAAATTGCATCCTACTCAAATGATATAATTCAATTTTAGACAGTGGGGTAAGATTTCAAATGAGACCTAAAAGCCGTGTACGAATTGAGTACACATGCAGATCATGGGGCGCTATCTGCGGTAATGATGAAGCAGAAGCGACTGATATTGAAGCAGCGAATCTGGAAACTTCAGTTTATTCAAGCAGACAACGGCATGTCCTTATCTTCTCCGACTGCAAATCAAAACTTCAAGTAGCTGAGAATCGAGCTAACGTTACAATGTATACCATGGCACCACGCACTACACCAGAATAAACTATTAAAAAAACCAGGACCATCCGTTGAACAGCCAAACGTACCCACAGCAAATTATTTGAGATGACAAAAATAAGATCTGAATCCAAATGATGATGACTAAATATTTACAGCTAGAAATATTTGTAGTCGACCATCATAACGTTTTAATAAATGCAAGCGCTGACTAGTACACGTGCTATCTAGTACAAGCGCTACCAGGTACATGTGCTACCTTGTACACGCGCTGTCAAGTACAAGCGTTACCTAGTACAAGCGCTACCCTAGTACAAGTGGTACCTAGAACATACGCTACCTAGTACCAGCGCTATACCTAGATTTATCAAAAGTGTTAAATTGTTTAAGTCCTATCCATTTTTTTTCTCCCATTATTTCCACATTTTTACGTTTTTAAATTTGATGGATAAGTAAAGGGTAGAAATTTGTATGTGCTTACTTTATATTAGAGCATCGGTTCTCGACCTTTGGGTCACGACCTCTTTTGGGGGTCGAATGACCCTTTTTTAGGGGTCACCTAAAAGCATCGGAAAACACACACACTCTACATTTATAAAGTAGCAACGAAAATTATTTTGTGGCTGGGGTTCGCCACAGCATGACGAACTGTATTAAAGGGTCGCGTAATTAGAAAGGTTGAGAACCAATGAATTAGAGTAAAAAAAATGTTGGGTCAATTTTGTTAATGTTTTAAATAAACCTTGTCTTTAATGTCTTAAAAAATAACTGTGAATACCTTCCGCTAGAGTGCAAGGCGTTCTCTCATGACACAAACTGTTCAACTCCTTGCAACTGTTCAAAGAATTACACAGACTACTGTGATAGCATCACGGGTCAGTGCATGTGTAAACATCAGTGGACATCTCCTGACTGTACAGTGGACATAAACGAATGTCTCTTAGATCCGCTGAAATGTCCCAATTATTCGGACTGCAACAATCATAAACCTGGTTATGAATGCGTGTGTAAGGAAGGACTGGAAAAAGACCATCAAGGACAATGCACTCTGGGTGAGTTTCTTCGTGCTCTTGTATGCGCCCAGAGTTGTTAAAATAGCTAAGGGTGGATAAGTCGACATTAAAAAAGAAAAGTATTCCAATAAACAAGGTATTGTATCAAAGGGTGCGTATGCATCATTCCGTCATGCTCAATGGTAACTTATTTAAGCGACATCTATGCAAGCGTTCCCCAAACGGTGGTCCTTGAATCGCCCCCGGTCCGCGGGACTTGCGTTTTCGGTCCACTTAACATGAATGTTTATGGTAAAATAAAAATAATATAAATAATTAATAAACCTCTCACCGTTCCCGGTGCATTTTCGAAAAGTGTTCACTTGTCTTCCAAACTTGAAATTTCCCAATTTGTTAACTAAAGAAAAATTTCTCATTCGTGATTTACGTCCAATGAAATTTTTATAGCTAATGTCCTGGTATGAAAAAGAAATAGATCTGTTCTTAAAATGATTTTGAGTTAATCCGCAATATACAAAGTATTGCAAGAAGAAAATAAAGCTTACAATTTCCGATTAAATCCATTGCAAGTTGTCCCCATTTACACGAATCTTGTCTAGTTTTATCAAGGATTAACTCATAACTATGCCATCAACCAAATATATATAGCGGGGAAAATACTTTGCTCGTTAAATACTTAATATTGTTGTTGTTTTCATAAGTTACAAACATAAAATACTGTTTAATAAAATAGTGTTTTCCTGCCTCTGGAATTTTTATATATCGAAACTGTTGTCTATTCGATTAAAACAGTAGTTGGCAAACTCAGTAGTCAAAAGAGCCAAAAATCAGCAGCAGAACGATTTTAGAAAATTTTGAGAGCCAATTTATTTTCAAGAACCTGTCAAGAACCATGTTTTTTTAAGTCAAAACCGATTTATGGCCGACTGGCCGAGCTAGCCGCACTCAGGTTTCTAAAGAAAGAGCCGCATGCTGCTCGCGAGCCGTGATTTCCCGACCACTGGGTTAAGGTATTCTTTTATCCATTTACTTAGCAATATTAATATCATCCAGATTCCAGCTCAAGTTCATCTGAATGTATTTCAAGAAATTGTTCACATAAGTGTGTCCACCTGCATGGATCCAATGAAGATCGTTGCTACTGTCCCATTGGCATGGTGCTTCATGGAGATACATGCATAAGTTAGTAAATATATAACTATATAAAGAGTTAATACATTATTGTTGTTGTTTAATTCCCTTTGTTTTTGAAAATAGATAAGTTTAAAAAAAATTATTATTAATTACTTGTATGTATTTTTTACAAATATATTTTATGAAGTTCTTTATTAATCTTAATGGTATATTTGCAAGTTAATAAATAAGCTAATTTATTTTAAAAGCCTTGAATTTTAAAATATAATAAAAAAGATTCTACATATTTAAAAGCTAGACTGAATTTTTTCGTTTTTTCTATTTCAATTTCAGATTGCAGCAACTGGACATTTGGCCCAGAATGTTTACGCAAATGTTCATGTGTTGAAAACAAGACAGCGTCATGCAACCCTGTAACTGGCCAGTGCGTCTGTTTGCCAGGCTGGACACATGATGATTGCTCACAAGACATTGATGAATGCCATTTACCAATATACTCCTGCCCGTCCTATTCTTCCTGCATAAATACACCTGGTGATTACGATTGTATTTGTGACGGAAATATGGGGGTTGAGAATGTTGATCACAGGACATGCAAAAAAAGAGGTAATTTATCCTAAGTGACAGATGCAAGCAATGGCTTATTTAGAGTTAATGCAACCATGTGAAGGGCTCAAGGGAAAAACCAGTGATGTCAGGTTTTGAGAGTTTTGAGAAAATTGAATTTAAAGTTTGAAAATTCCTCATAAAAGTATGAAAATATCAAGATGTCTACGTATTTATTTATTGACTACGCTGCTTTTTCAGTTGGACCTATGTATCATATTANTTTTCCCCTGAACCCTTCATGTTCAAATCAAAATATTTGCCCCCCCCCCCCCCACCTTTTTTTCTTCCACGAAGAAAGATCAACAGATTTGAGAAAATGCCACCACCCCATTTAAAGAAGAAATAAAGGAAGCCCGGGTCGACCTTCCCATAGGTCCCTTCCTATCTAACCCCGCAGAAGCCAGTTCACTTAATCAGAGCAAAATGCTCAATAAACACTGACTTCACCTATGACAACTCCATGAGCAGTTACATCCGGAACAATGATAAATGCTTCCTTGTGCCTCGGTGTAACATAGTTAAATATAAGCAGTCATTCTTCCCACGAACAGTAATTGCTTGGAACCAACTAGACAATGCCACCATGGACTCGAAATCAATCGAGAGTTTGAAAGCTGCCCAGGCACCCGCTAGGAGGGGTAAGGATGGCCGCATCGTTTCCCAAACCGTTGCACGTATGCCAGTACTTGGTTAAAACATAAATACATATAATTTATATCATAGCTTTAAAAGTGTATATCTGCCTCCCCCCGTTTCTTATAACCGCTTTCCTCTCGTCCTCTGAGATACTATTTTTTTTTAAATTTTAAATTTCTAGATTGTAACCAAACACTGACAAGTTACACTGGTATGATCACTAGTCCAAACTATCCCAGTAGTTATTACAACCTGGCTGACTGCACCTGGCTAATTACTGTGAATGGAGACAACATCATCGCTGTGAGGTGAATGTATTACCAATTGATGTAAATTGTGTGTATGGCTGCTTATTATAAAAATGTTTTATATCAAACCAAGAATGACGGAAATGAGGATATATCTGTAAATCGTTCACACAAAGTATTTAATTTTCTCATTTTAGTTAGACTAATTTTTAAAAAAATATTTTTAAAAAAAAATATTTTTAAAAATAAAAGTGTTTATTTTTTGTAAAGATTCTTTTTTTTTATCTCATTATAATACACAATATATTGTTGTTGTTCGTCCGTCGAAATCGACTAGGACCATCGAGTCATCCGGTTAGGGGGGAGGGTGTGTTTCGGTGAGCTCATAGGCGGTTTGCTAGACCAATCCGTGCTAAAGTTGGATGACTGATGACTTGCGCGGGTGACTGTGTTTAAAGTGAGGTTCGAGTTGCGCAGTGTCAACCTCACTCTCTCGTCCAGACACAATAGATACTGATACTAATGTCGACGCTTATGGTATAGGCTAAGAAAATAGATTTTATATGTATGTGGTAATTTTTGTTAATCAATGAATATTATATTGAAATAAACTGTGTTCTGTAATAATGAAAGGAAACAACAACTTTAAATAGCCTACGTTTCTAAAACATATATTTTATTATCTTGCCTGTCTCCATGTGCATCCGGTAAACGAAGGCATTTTGGTCGATAAATGTGTACACATAGAAAATAACGAGTGTTGGATAATAATGAATTTGAATAACTTATCAAAATAACCATAATTTTAGCATTTCCATATTAACATTAAAAAGATGTCTATACAAATTTCAGATTTGAAGATTATCAGCTTGAAAGTGGGCTTGATTATGTAAATTTTTATAATGGAAACACGACACAAACATATCCCATCACTAGTGTCACGGGGAGTTATACCTCATCCCGAAGATCCATCAGATCTACTGGAAACAAGATGTTCATCAAGTTCATTACTGATTTTTCTCAACAATTAAGAGGCTTCACGGCTATTTACATCTCATATCGTAAGTACTCATTAATCCCATATCATGATAGCTTCTCCAAAACAAAGCTTCTTGGTGAGCGTAGCACTTTCTTTGCGTTAGATACAGCTGTGACACGAGGCGTAGAGGGTGGGAGGCACGCAGCGGGGGGACACCAAATGAAAGAATACAAATTGGGTATAGCTCGCTCATTTTGGTTCCATAACTGATCGTACAGTGAGCTACAGTAGCAGGATGCCACTAGCATTGTTTATTAGCAGGCAGTGGCATAGCTAGTGTTGGTGTCGCCCAGTGCGGTAAACTCATGGTGTCACCCCACTCCTCCTGAATTCTACTATGGGTTTCTTCTTTTTAAAATAAGTCAACAGTAAATAAATGACAAGAAAAAAACAACAAATTAATTGAAGGAAGTAAATGTATTCAAGAACTGTAACAAAGAAAGTTATAATGATGTTTACACTAAATTTATATTTATTTAAAGTTCTTCGTTCCTGATCTTCAAAGATGCAAACCTGTTGATCACTTCATCAAAATCAATATCTTTCACCATATCACATAAAAGTTCGTCTTTTGATAAATCATCATAGAAAGAGATTAATTTTTGAACGGACTGCAATAACTCTTCTTCACTTGCTCATAGTAGACTCTTATTTGAACAGCCTCAAACATATCTGCCATTTCCTTGAGCGTTGACGATCTGATCTGGAGGTAAAAATGAAAGCAATCAAATAAACTCCAGCATCTCCCTACTTATTTCTTCTCGCAGAGTTCAGAATCTATTGATTGTTTTCCTGCCAATCGCTTCTTTAAACTTTAATCTTCTCTGTTTATTATTATTTATTTATTTATGTTTTGAATTTTTTTTTTAAATAACGAATCGGAGTTATGTTTAGAGAATATTTGATTGCTTGAGGTTTTTTTGGCCATAATGATAACATTATGTGCCTCAGACAAAAACATTTTCATGTTAAATCTGTGTACAAAAAGTAGGTAAGTATTTTAAAAATTAAGAACCAGAATTAATGTGATCTAACGATTTATTCTTTTTTTTAATGATTTTTTTTTTTAATTTGAGCACTATCTCAGATTACACTTCCACCGTTATCTCTTAATTACTATGTATAACTTGTAGGTGCTTCGGGAACATCACCTGCGTGCGTATTGGAAAATTGTACAGAGGTGTGCGACCACTTCAATGAAACAGGAGATCACTGTTATTGTCCTTTTGGGGCAGATTTAAATGGAAACCAATGCCAAAGTAAGTCAAACGCAGTTAAACAATGTAACGTAATCTTCTGCCCAATGGCATATTTGGTCCATTTAGTCTTAATCCATTCAAAACCAAAATGTTTGAGAATTGTCCAAATTTAGACATTTTTTTAGGTTGTCAAGAAAGCGTTTGAGAATTGTCCAAATTAAGACGTGTTTTAGGATGTCAAGAAAGAGTTTGAGCATTGTCCAAATTTAGACGTGTCCTATGCTCCCAAGTAACTTCCTTAAGGCATCAATTTACCTGAGGCTTCTCAAGAATTTACCACATGTCAGAGTCCTTTGATGCACGGCATCGACATCCCTCTCATAATTTAGGACCATATGTTTCAATTTGTTTTTCCAATGCTGTTCTAATGATTTGCAGTGAAATAAGTGAAACGTAGCTTTTTCGCCCATATGGTCAGCTTATGGCGAATTTTTGGTTGCTGCAATCGGGTGTATGGGTGTCTAGGTAAAATGTTTATGCGTGCATAAGAAGTTCGAAAGTCACCATCGTAAGAAATGTATTTTGGAAAACCAATTTATCGTTGTGATCTTGTCAAGTCTTAAATCTGATCGTTGTATTTTTTTTTCAATATTCCATTGTATCATTTTATGTTATCATTTTAGAGTGCAGCAATGGAACTCTTGTATCCGACTGTCCTCTCGATTGCCCATGTGTAAAAAACCAAACAGAACTGAGTAACCCCGTAACTGGCCAGTGTCTTTGTTTGCCAGGCTGGGCATCGGAAGATTGCTCGCAAGATATTGATGAATGCTATTTTGAATTGGACTCATGTCCAACATATTCCTCTTGCAGCAATCTCCCTGGTGGTTATGATTGCATTTGCGACAGAAATATGGGTGTTGAGAATGTTGATCACAGGACATGCAAAGAAAGGGGTAAGTTAACATTGTCTGTGGAGACAAGTAAATTTCAATATGTAGAAACAATGCTTATGCCAAAACTTTTAATTTACCTTCTAACTACTGTATTGGATCTCCTCATAGACATAATTGACTCATGGATGAGTAGAATTTTTTTTTAATCTATGAATGTATAGATGGTATCAAAATGTAAATATCTATATCGTTGTTTAATATATATATATATATATATATATATATATATATATATAAACTTGAACATATGATCGGGTTTACAGTTACGATTTTGAATGTCTTTGAAATTTATATTTAGAAAACTGTAAAGAAGACTTCCGTTATTTTAAAATAAAAATTTATGCATAGATGTTTACGTTTTTTCTCATCATTGTGATTTGAGTATTGTAAATAATATAGGAAAACACAAACTTTTGTCACGCCCATGAACAACACAGAAAAAAAAAATCTATTTTTTTTTCCCCTTAATTTTATTTAAAATGTCGAATTTTAAACATCTGTAGAATTAATGGATTTTTATAATTTGCACCCAACCTCAATCTCGCTCCTGAACTACATTATTAGAATAATGTCAAAACAGAATTCTTACATTTATTTCTCTTATCCAATTATTACAATTGAACTTTTTCTTTTAAAGTACATTATCAATCTTATATGGCACTACATTGTATTTTGCGCAAAATGGAAAAAACTTTTTTATTTCCCTATATTTAAAGAAAATCTTAATACCCATTTGTTTCCTCCCCTGGATTGTATTTTCGGCTAATAAACAAAATATACATACTTTTAACGACTCAATTTTCACGCCTGTAAAACTGTATGGTTATTTAATATTTGTATCCATACAAAAAATGTCTCCAATCTGGTTCTTTCACATACTATAAACATATTGAAAACCTCATAAAAACGTGCCCACCCTTTATCCTCGCCATAAAGTGCACATCTGAAAAGATGGAAAAGTTGCTACGCCCTTAGTTTTAAAGAAAACCATATCCACTATGTTGTTCCCCTTTCCAATTTTTCTGCATTTTCAGGCATGGTTGTACTAAGAAATGTGTGCACAATGTGTCATAGCCATTGAACCGCATTTTCCGGCATAATTGTAGCACGTATTAAATTTATTTTGAAAGAAAATTTAAAACCTATTTTTCAAGACTATAGTTTTATCGGATTGTTTTAACATCTTGATGTTCACACGCAAACCAACTCATCAGGGTCGGCGCTAGGGGATGGCGAAGTGGGCGTGGGGACCCCGCACGTTGCCGTAGTATATTTATAATATACCAAAATAGCAAGGAAGGTTTTAAAACTATTTATATACCGATTTCCAAAATGTGTTCTATATGAATTTCGAGATATTGCTATACTTTTCAAATGCATCACCCATTCTTTGGCGTGCCTTATTTTCCTTTTTAAAATTAAAAAAGAAAATCACAGCCAGCTCCCCCAAAACCCAAATATTTCATTATTTTTTGTAATCCTATTTACCCCATTATAACGTCATAGCGCAATTTTGCCCAAACCTGAATTATATTATTTTATTTCTCAAACCCGTTTTACAACGCAATGATAATCTTTTTCTTTAAAAAAAAAAATTACTTCATAGCTTATTTTCATATAATTAAATAATATGTTTGTCTCTTGCATATGCTTTTTGTAGGTTCGTTTGTGAGTTTGTGGTCAAGTTTTGCATCTGAAGTACGACCCACTTCCTGACCTCCAATTGAGCAAATTGTGTACTCTTACCACCACCATGACCCCCTCCCCTTTTCCGATGACAATATAACCTTTCATGATCAGTAGGTCCCCAGTGACCTCCAATTACACAATGGGTTTTGGACACACCTTAAATCAATGTTCTAGTAAATTAGAGTGATACATCTCCCTAGACTAAACGCAGAAAATAAAACAATGTGAAAAATAATTTAATACAAACACGCTTTTCCACAAATGTACTAAAAGTATGAAATAAATTTCCCTCAAAACTTCAGAGTTGTTAAAAAAAGTCATATGGCAAACAAAAAAAAAAAAAAAAGGGGGGGGGTGGGGGGGCTTCCATCAACTCAACGTTCTTTGCATATCGCAATGATATGGACACGGCGGTATGTCTAATTTCATTCCACTTGTCAAGATTGCAATCGACTGGAGCATACAACAGTATGCCAGGAAGTATACAACAGTATGCCAGGAAGTATACAACAGTATGCCAGGAAGTATACAACAATATGCCAGGAAGTATACAACAGTATGCCAGGAAGTATACAACAGTATGCCAGGAAGTATACAACAGTATGCCAGGAAGTATACAACAGTATGCCAGGAAGTATACAACAGTATGCCAGGAAGTTGTGAGAACTCATTATTTTCATGATTAAATAAAAGCGTAATAGATGTGTCACTAACACTTATTTTTAGCAATTCAAACGTACACGTCTGCCCAACATTGTATTTGTTGATGTACTCAATGTGTATGTCAACGTCTTGTTTTCGTTAGTCATATAAGTGTAACAACTCTGAAATTGTGTACGTTTTAGTACATATTTTGAAAGCAATTTTTAATTTTTTTAATTTTGCCTTATTTAAATTTAAATTAATACCAAGGCTCAATATGACGTAATCGTGTGCGGAGATGCTGGTATTTAAATGTATACCCCCCATCCCCTTTTACCAAATTTTCAGCGCCCTTGACACGTAAAAATATAAAACTCTTCGAAAACATTTCAAACATGTATAGTTTCTATTTATTTATTTTCTGGAAATATTGAAAACTGTTGCATCATCATAATTTTAACCAATTAAGCTATACTTGTTTGTTTGATTAATACAGTAATTAATTTATAATGAATAAATCTGGAACCAGTGTAATTGGTGCAATTTCTAAAATCTTCCACCGGTTGGCTAAACTGGAAAAAAAATAATTGGGAAACGTTGGGGTAGACTTCGCAGGACGAACTAACAAAACATGGGCTTTGTCGTTAGGATGATAAGCGTGTTCTCTTGACATCAAATCACCTATCTACACGCACCTGGGTAGCCCATGTGAACATCCTGTGTGTATGATAAAGCCTGGCACCAGTAGCGTCGCGGGGAATTTTCATTATGTCAGTGTGATACCGCCTACAGGACTCCTTCTCCAGGTTTCAATTATTTAAAATGTTCCTTTTCTTAGGTGAGTTGCTCCATCCACCCGGATGTTTATGCTTTAGGTTTTTGCAAGGGGTTTTTAAATGTAAAGTGTAAAAAGTTGCATATGACACATTTCATCTACAGAATGTAACCAAGTGCTAACAAATTTAACAGGGACTTTCACCACTCCTAACTATCCTAACAGCTACTATAATCGTGCGAAGTGTACTTGGCTGATCTCAGGTACAGAAGGAGACATTATCACTGTGAGGTATGATATTACTAAATTAATTTCAATTAGTATAGGAAGGAAAAATAATAACATCGATGTTTGACTACGTATAATAGCTGATTTTTGTGATTCAAAAAATTACTTAAAATGCCTTACGTTTTTAAAACGTCCTGGTTTAAAATATATAAATTCATCAGAATGTTATTGCTGCTCTCTGTTTATAAAACAAATTTCAGGTTGGAAGATTTCAGCTTTCAAAATGGTCCAGACTACGTAATATTTTACAATGGTAACAGTACAAATGCGAATATCATTAGTCGATTTTCCGGCTATGTTGTAACACCACGGCTCGTCAGATCCAGTGGTGACAAAATGTTTATCACCTTCATATCAGACAGTTCTTCAACAACCAGGGGTTTCAGGGCCTCTTATAATTCACATCGTAAGTTGGTTAGTTTTAAGTTTATGAGATGTTTTAATACAAGCATTAACTGATAAACATAGGTGCTAGTGATCTGATGACATGTTACTATGTTACTTTTAATAAATCGGTCCTTTAATTTGCATGTTTGATTCATTTATTCGAAGCTTATGAGGATCAGATCTTGCATTGATTAACACAACATGGTAACTAAGAAGAGGCAGTGGGAATTTTAGATAACAAGCAAACTTGATTGCTTTTATTTGAAATATTTTTTAAAAAATGAAATTATGTCATTAACTTCTTTTAACTAGCTTGCAGAAACTTCACATTCGGTGAAAACTGCACTGAGTACTGCCACTGTAACAGGGAACATACCCAGTTCTGTCACAACATCAAAGGCGAGTGTTTGTGCAAGACGGGTTGGAAAGGGAACACGTGTTCTGATGACGTCGACGAATGCCAAGGGACCAATATCAAACTGTGTCCGCCCAACTCGGACTGTCACAACACACCAGGAAGTTACGAGTGCAGATGTCATCGTGGGTTTCTGAAGCATATCGTTACTCAGGAGTGTGATGGTAAATTCATATTTTGATATGTTGAGCAGTTTTTCAAAACAGGAAAATAACCAAATACCTTAATTTAAGCAAATGAAATTTAAGTAATTATACTCTTTAGATTAAAAATATAAACTTTGTTATCAAATAAATTGACCCGCACAATCTAGATGTGCTTTTCACTAAAGGACGGTGCTGGATCTACTGATAATGAAAGTTATAACTTAATGTCCAACGTTTTTTCGGAAAAGATATCGTAGACTCAGTAGCACTCGGGGCAGCAATAGCCATCGTTTGCTGGTGGGCGGTCAGTAGACTGATTTTGCGTTTGCTCATCTCTTGATTTCATCTGGTTAGTTAAGTTTGGGACGTATTTCTAAGTCGGTGACAATGAGCATCGTTAGGAATGAGCTAGTTATTTTAAAAGGACAGCAGTATTTGGGGAAAACGATTATCTCCCATGTAAGAAACATATAGGCCTAATGGCCTAATGTTGCTGTCTTGAGATGTTTTGGTATATTCCTTTAATTACAATTATTACAGTAGCTCTCCATCATGCTTTAACACCAAATTAAGATTCATCAAAGGAAGTGCGACCCCTAAATAAAAAGTCTTTTTTTTTTTTTTTGTAGCATTATAATTCGTTTATTATGGTTAAACATAGAAACCGCTATTCAAATGACATTTAACAAATATTTCTTAACATAAAATTAAAATTATTCAACCATTCTTGCTGATGATTTTTACATTTTTTCCTCAGTTCTTTCAAGCTATCAAAAGATCACTAACTACCTTCTGAACTTATTTGTTTAAAAATGCACTTTTTTCCTTGCCCTTTTTTTTTTCAGCGTATGATGGTTGCTATGACAAAAAATGCTCCCATGCTTGCGACAATGTCAATGACGTAGAACAGTGCACTTGCCCTGATGGGTTTGTGCTTGATGTCTCTGGACTGGTCTGTGTTGGTGAGTTGATGATTTATTTTTATTTTTGAGCATGGTATATGGAAATGTTGAACACTATAAATATAAAAAAAAATTTAATAAATGAAATAAGCCTTTGTGCATCATGGCAAGTATCTGAAATACATTTTAGAAACTAATTCATATTAATAATGATTAAGATTTTATGCCCAGTTAGATGACTGATGATATTTTATAGTGTATTAACTATTTATTTAGGCCCTATAGCTCTTATTTTAAATCATTATTTTTTGGGTGAGAGGGGCTTTAAGCAGAGTCGTTGCGTGATTTTTGGGAAACCCCAGGCACTTTTCAGTTTTATAACCTTGTATTTAAAGTTAATAGTCATAATCATGTGCACCTTACATATACTAGGTCCATGCAACAGCTCTTGTGTGTGACTTTTTGATGGCCCTCTGAATTTATTTTTTTTTTGGTTTATTTATTCAAAGCAAATGAAAAAGGCTTATTAAATTTTTTCCTAGCCATAACTTTAAGAAATTTAAATCTTAAGTGCTCCAGCAGCCGAAGGTCATATACAAATTTTGGACTGTACTTAAAATGATTTTGGTTAATAATTGCAGTTCCTTATTACCCATATGGACAAGAATCTAACGACAATATACTAAGCTCTGAGAAATATGGTCAGAAACTGAATCAAGGAACCATATTAGTTAGCACATCTATTTACTTGACCAATGGAGCACCTTTTGGGAAATCTGAAAAATTGATCAATGTAGTTTTTGTAAGTACATTAATGAAGGGTATATAAGTATTACACATCTGCATTATTATTTCTACTAGTACCACTGTAACAATGCTAATATTAAGAATTAGGAGACAAATAGGCCTACACTTGTTTTTAAAATACTATCAACAAGGATATTATTCATTATGAGTTCATGTGTATCATATATTATATTGTTACCATGATTGGCAGATTTTTGTAAGTTAAGTTTGGTATTAACATCAACTGTATTTAAATGTTTTTGACAAATATTAAAATGATATTTAATAGAATGGTACGCTAAAAGACAAAATTTTTAAAAATGTAAATAACTAATTTTCCAAATAATTATTGAATAACTGAGCAATGCATATTTCAGGTAATGAGCAATGGCCTAATAGCACTTGGTGAAGAAAGTAAAGAAATCTCTGGTAGTCCTAATCTGCCCTATGCCTCATCTAAAGAAAAGAAAATTGTAGCACCATTTTGGGCAGATATTGATCCAAATTCAGGTATAATTAATAAGCTATATTTAGCTGGTTAAGTTTTTAATTTTTTTTTAATAGAATTAAAAATTTAATTGATTGATTTTTCCATATTCTTTGCTGAAAGTAATTTGAGCTTGTTGAAAGCATCTTAAGTAGAAATATTTTATTAATTTTTTTCTGTAAAGGAAAGCTCTTATTTTGTTAAAAATAATCATTGTTTTATCCTCAAATCAAAATTTTTTAAAAATTTTATGATAACCTTGAATTTTCAACAAATAATTTTTATTGTCAGGCCATGTCAATTACCACCTGTATGAAAAGTGTGGACAGTCTCTTTTTGATGGAATGAATGATGATGAGAATTCACCATCTAAGGCTGAAGTTATGACCCGTGCAAGCCAAGATGTTATTAAGTATTACAATTTACCTGGTTTTGAAGTGGACTCAGCTTTGGTTGTCACATGGGTGGGGGTCCAGCATTTTTCACAGGTCAGTGATGTCAGTTTGAATAAAAATATAGGTTTTACTGAACAAGTAGTCACATTTTCTTACACATAGGCCTACAACAAGCCCTAACTGCTGACTCAAGTGGGAATTTCATAATGATTAGCCCTGATGCACAAATAATGAAGTAACCACCTAGATTTAGTCTCATAATTTTCCATTCATGTTGTTAATGTCTTGACATTGATGCTTTAGTTAAGTATTTATGCTTTGTGTGTATAATAATTTAAAAGTTACAAATTATTAATAAGAAATTTAGTCGTCCGAATGATTAAAACATCAGAATACTATATGGGTGTTTAGTTATAAAGCTATAGGTAGCATTTAGTTAAAATGGCCTCAGACATGTATCACATCCATTCACACCTGGGTCCCATTAGACCAATACTATTGGGATGTCATTTTTGATAGTTTATTTTAGTTAAACTAAAGAAGTAAGTTTACAAACACATAGTCCAATTATCTTTCATTTTATACCTTATTTTGTCTTACAAACCCAACAATAATATTTGAAATGGTTTTTTCATCCCAACCTCTCACTTCTGGTACCCGGTTGCAAATATTCGCAGCCTTTAAAAAATTAATTACTCAATTATCAGCAATATGCCTAAATAATTAATTTTGAATTTATTTTTTAGTTATTGATTTGAATTTTTTTTTAAAAACTAGGACAACTAATTCATATTTATGTTCTGATCACAAAATATATTTTAATTATGAGATAAGGATAGGCCTACAAAAATGATAAATGAAACAATAATAATCATTACAGAACTTAGAAAGCAACACATTTCAAGCAGTTTTTATTAGTGGCTGGAAGAAAGATTTCCAGAAAGGGAGAGAGATTTTGTCAGGTAAGTGGATAGTCATAGAAATCATTTAGACATTACATTACAAAATTATGTTGTGATCATAACAATAGTTCAATCAAAGCCAGCAGTAATGTTAGCATTGATCAGTAAAAGAGAACCAACAACAGTAAGAGTATGATATTCATTATTTCTAGCAGAAAGAGAAACAAATTTTACAGAACAGCATACAACCTCACGTATGACTTGCAATTCTCATTATTACTTATTTTTAAATATTTAAATGGTGTTTTTTTTTGTTTTTAACTGTATTAATAATTCATTATCTTTTTATAGAAGACGAGACGTCCTATGTAATATTCTTGTACCAACAAGGACAGATGAACTGGACTTACGTAGCTGGCAGACTCATCAATATTGGTTTTACTGGGAACATCATGCCTGACACTGACTCAGCTTTTGTCAGCACACTTGACAAAGTGAAAGGCAACACAGGTGAATATGTTACCAATGTTTTATTTTCTCAACAGCTAACAATATACTCTATAGATTATTTATTCTTCTTCTATATTATGAAGGCCCATGATCAATGTATTAATAATGTGTGGCATAAGCCTACCTTTCTAAAACTAATATGATAATATTTTTTAGTTTACTACTTTAAAAAAAAAAAAAAAAAATTTTAAAAGATTACCTTAAATATATGATTATTTTATGTTACATGATCTTAAATCTGTTGCTTACCATAAAGAATTTCTTATTTAATTAAACCGTTTTTTTTTCTTCTTGTTTTTCAGGCTATAATGGTGTCTTTACATACCAAACTGGAAGATCCAACAGTTCATTACAAAAATGCCATAGATATACTTGCAATAATGTACCTCTGCTGAGTGATCTTGTATATGAAAATGAAAAGAGAGCTCTATACAAGTGCCCATGCACAATTGAAAGGCTGGGACACCAATGGCAACTGTTTGAAACTCGTGGAACAAATCAAGATATTAAATGCTATGCTATCAGCAATATTGCGAAGAACAGATTTTTACCAGGCAATACAAGAAACAAAGTAAAATTTTGTTTTTATATTATACTTTATGCCCTACTTTAAATCTAATGTTTCGACGTGTAAAAGAACTATTGTCTAAATTATCTTTCTGCACAACATGGTGCTTTCAATAACATGATCAGCAGAGATGATTACTTTTTTTTTACATATTTCTAACAATGTATAGAAAAGTTTTACAAAATAATGCTTTTTATTTATAACATGACATAATTCAATAAAAATTTATTTTTATTATTCAAGCTGTGTTGCTACAAAACTGGTAAACCACAAAATCCTAATGACTGGAGAGATGTGGAACAAACAAGGAGAGCTGCATCATATGTCCCAGCTTCACCAGAGTCTGGACATGTATTGATTTATGAGCCATGGCAAGGGTACTACTACAACGTTGGTGCAACACAGGAAAACATTGAAGCTCATACAACATGCTGTGCAAAATCTACCAAAGAATTATGTGACAGATTTTATAAAATATTTCCCGACATGGGCTGCACAGACTTTGTTGTCTTTGTGACTGGTCAGACAATTGACAATATATTTTTATATTATTTTAAATAAAAAAGCAAACTAACCCATCAATAAAGCTGTCTTTCAAATTTGTTAATTCTAAAAAAAAACAAAAAAAACAATAATACTTTCATTTTATTTTGAAAACAAAACAAAGAAGCTAATGCATTAAAATTTTTATTAAAATTTGAATCTAGGTACTTGTAATTTTAGTTTTCAATTTTGGATTGTGTATGAACACCTTAAAATATTAAAATAGATAAATACTTAGTATTTTTGTTTTAATTTTTTTATTGATGCTTTAAAAATATTATTTTTGCTCACTTAAAGGGAGTAATGTTTTTTTGACAAGGCAGCCAAGTTTAAAAAATCATAAAAACATTTGATTATGTGAACTAGAAGTTGTTGAAATGTCTAATTACCTTTTTTTTTTCATCTACAGCTTCAGCTCTTGGTGACCCTCACATTACTACACTAGATGGGGTGACTTACACAATGAATGGATGGGGAGAATACATCTTGATGGATATCAAATCAAAGAATTTTACACTACAGGTAATACTTTTTATATTTCAATACAAATTTACTGGTTGAATGAGTGGCAAGATTTATACATAATTACATTTGATGGTTGAGTATTTATTTCAAACAAAGAAATTCTATAAATGTTGTAAAGCATCTTTGCCTTTCAGGCCAGAACAAGTAGAGTTGAAACCAGCAAAGGAACAACAACTAATGCTACTGTGTTTACATCATTTGCTGCCAAGGAAACGGGATATGCTCACTTTCAAGTTGATCTAGGAATTAACAATAAAAGTTAGTCTAGTATAAAAATGTGCCCGTTTCATATCATATAGTATATAAAAACTAAATGCTTAAAATCTACATTTTTATAAGTCACAATTGTAATATTATATAATTTAATTACAATGAGCCAGATACTGAATTACATTATTTGTTAAATATCTTCGTTCTCACTCCCAATGGAGTCCTCTTCCTGGGCTATCTTGGCTAGTTAAGCCCAGCTTTTCTTCATTCTCTTCACCTCTGTCTCTACTTCTCTCTTCCATGTGGCACTTGGTCTTCCTCTTTTCTTGTTACCTTTAGGATTCCAGTTGAGGGCCTGCCTTGGGATGTTAGTGTTTGGTTTCCTTAATGTGTGCCCTATCCATCTCTATTTTCTCACTTTTATCTCCGTTTCCACTGGAACACTAGATGTTCTCTTCCGAAGGATAGTGTTACAAATTTTGTCAAACCATCTTATTTTGAGGATCCTTCGCAAGCGTCTATTTATAAAAACCTGCAGTCTTTTAAAGTTTGTTTTTTTTGTTCTCTAAGTTTCACAGCCATACAGATGAGGTGCCTTGACATTTGAGCTGAATTTTTTTAACTTTGTTTTTGTTAGTATTTCACTTGAGTTCCAGATGTTTCGCATGGCATTGTATGCTCCTCTGTCCTTTTGAACCTTAGAATTTATGTCCATATCTGTGGCACCATTTTTATTTATGATGCTTCCCAGGTATGTAAAAGTCTCAACTACTTCAAGAGAGGGTCCTCTCAGGTTAATCACAATGACTCCATAATCCACTGCATTTATTCTTAAGGTCTTGGTTTTCCCTTTAGTTATGCAAGTCCAACTTGTTGCGATACAGAGTCAAGTTTTGTTGTTTTCTCCATTTGTTTGTGGCTATGTGATAAAAGTGCAATGTCATCTGTAAAATTCAAATCCTCCAATGGTCTGAAAGTGTCCACTGGATTCCATTTTTCCCATCCGGTGTTGTTTCTCTCATGATCCAGTCAATGGATAACAGAAACAGAAATAGTGAGAGCAGGCATCCCCTTTAAACTTAAGATTCAATCATAAATTGGTTTGTTAGTTCACCTTCATGTATAACCCTGCAACTGATATCCTTGTATGTGTTCTTTATTAAGTTAGGGGAATACTTTAATGTCTTAGTAATTTCCAGAGTATATCTCTGTCTAAGCTATCAAATACTTTTTCAAAATTGACAAAATTTAGGTACAATGATGCATTCCACTCGAAGCACTGTTCCATGATTATGCACAGTGTTGCTATTTGGTCAGTACATGATCTGTTTTCTCTAAAACCTGTCTGTTCATCTCTTAGTTTGGAGTCTATCACATTTTTTATTCTCTGCTTAGTAATTCTATTTAGTATTTTTCCTGGTACAGAAAGCAGCATGATTCCTATTTAGTTTCTACACTCTTGGAGATCTCCTTTCTTTAGAAGTTTGAACAAGTATCTTTTTATCCATAACTCTTCTTTGTCCCAGAAAGTCACAATTAACTGGTGAAGTATGCTGGATGAAAGTTCCAGATCTTTCCTTAGTACTTTTGCAGGTATTCCATTGGCAACCTTTCCATTTTTCAATAGATTAATCACATTTTTATTTCTGTTCTGTTGGGTAAATTAAAGTCAATGAGGATAACTTCTTCTGCAGGGAGAATTTCAGGTGGTTCTTCTGGGCCTGGCCTGTTTAGTGGTTCTTCTGGACCTGGCCTGTTTAGTGGTTCTTCTGGGCCTGGCCTGTTTAGTGGTTCTTCTGGGCCTGGCCTGTTTAGTGGTTCTTCTGGGCCTGGCCTGTTTAGTGGTGCTTTGAAATATTCTAGGCATTGCTTTTGTTCTTCTCTGTTGGTTAGTTTTTTCCCCAATTTGTCTTTGATTGGCCTGCTTTGCTGATGAAACTTTCCTGTCAGCCTCTTTATTGTATTGTACAGGTCACCTATGTTACCTTTTGATGCAGCCTCTTCAGCCTCCTTAGCAAAGTCATCAATAAATCTCCTTTTATGTATTCTGATGTTCTTTTTAACTACTTTATTTGCATTTGTCTAGTTACCAAAAGCAGTGACTATTGATGCTCTTGTTTGGCTTTCTAAATAAATTATCATTTTTCTTTTCTTCTCTTTCATTTTGTATATTGTTTCTTTTGAGAACCACTACCTGTGTTAATATTCTTTCTTCCCTAATACTTCTTTGCATGTGTTCATCCAAATCTCTCTAATATGTTGCAATTGTTCTTCTATGTCTTCAGTTATGCTATGTTGCAGAGCTTTAAATCTGTTTCTTAGGGTGATTCTAAACACTTCTTCTTTTCTGGATCTTTAAGGAAATCTGTTTTATAGCACTGTCATTTCTTTTGGATGGTGTTCTGTCTTTTTAATTTCAGCATTACTTTCACTGTCATCAAGTTGTGGTCAGACGAAACGTTTGCTCCACTGTAGGCTCTAACATCTTGCAGTGAGTGTCTGAACTTTTTATTGATACATTGACATATGTGATCAATCTGGTTTTGGGTCTCTTGGTCTAGTGATATCCAGGTCACCTTATGGATCTTCTTGTGTGGAAATATGCTTCCTCCTATTACCAGGCAATTATTTGCATTAAATTCTGCAAACATATCTCCACTATCATTCATGTTTCCTAATCCGTGTCTTCCGATTACTTCCTCATAGCCCATATTAATGTTCATATCCTTGTCTCTCACACTTGAAATGACATTCTAAAGTTTTTTTTATAGAACTTGTCTTTTATTGTCTCCTCTTTGTCATTTTTTGATGCATAAATTTGAATGACGTTTAGGCTGATGTCTTTCTTGAAATTTCTTAAGACTGCTCTTGTTATCCTGGGTCCCTGAGGCTGCCATTCAATCAGAGCCTTCTTTGCAGTAGATGACAGTATCAAGGCTCATTCACTGTGTAGTGCATCTTCTTCTTCATGACCAGAGTATAAAATGGACTCTCCCGATGTTAGTTCAGTAGATCCATTTCCTTGCATGTGTTAAATATACATATTTTATGTATTTCCATTAAAACTCTTTACAAACAATTTTATTCAACCTGCCAAATCAATTTTTCTACAGCCATGGTGATATATGCTAATGGTGTGGACTTAACAAATAATTTTTACAAAGATCCAGAAAATGCTCCACTTCTAGAAGAAATTGTTGTCACCAGGGAAGATACTGCTAACAAGACTTTTGTAACAGCATCATTTCCCTGTGGTAAGTTCATTTCTACTCTTCTTAATAATACATAGAATGAGTTCATATAATATGATTGTAATAAATTTATAATGATTCAAAAAATCAATTATTTCATTACATTGTTTAATGTTACACACCAAAGTCTATTGTATTAAGTAGCATAAATTGAAATGATAAGTAAATAATTGTCATATTTGAATCTTTAGGTGTCTCCATCAAGGTATCTGTAGGTGTTAAGAGCCTGGATATAGAGCTGCAAATAGATAGAAGCCTTGAAAATAAAACTTTGGGGCTGCTTGGAAACTTCAACAGAAACAAATCGGATGAATTTACCCTTCCAAATGGAGTTGTGCTTCCAAGCAATATGTCCGAAAGAGAGATATTTTATTCATTTGCAAAGGAATGTAAGATCTGAATGGATGATTTTTGTATTTTATGAATGTTGTTTTTATTTCCTTTTATCAAATATTAACAATATTTTAAGTCTTTTCTTTCTTTCTTGGGTTTTAAAGATTTATATGTTGTCCTTTTGACATTTCCTTGTTCATTTCTTAGATATCTCTTCTCCTGTATTATGTTTTAAAAATGATTATCTTACTCAAGTCTCTTTTGCATGCAACCTAGTTTCTTGCACTTGAGTCAATGTAATTTTTAATTTTTTTTGGTACAGTGTTGTCTGAACATGTCTGTACCATACACTTTTATGTAATTTTATCTAAATTATTTTACAGGGGAAGTAACAGCACAGAATACAGTTTTTGTGTATGGAAAAAGAGAAAACTCTAGCACCTACCAACATTCAGACTTTGTTCCAATGTTTGGAGATGAAGCTTCCCCCGAAACAGTGGCTATGGCAGAAGCTATTTGTGGTGGAAACAACACAGCTTGTGTTATTGATTTTATGATTACCAACAATGCTGAATTTGCAATGAGCACCAAAGAATCTTCTCTAAAATTTGAGTCTCTCATAACACACTTAGGTACAGTGGGTTGAATTTCTTGAAAAGATTTAACGTGATTAATATTTTTAATACATTGATAATTGGGATCAACAACCTTAAAAAAATCTTGAAAGTAAATCAACTATAATTTCTATAACCTTTTAACCTGTTTTTTGGATATGCTATTTAAGAATTAATCTTTGTCTTTTTAAAGCTATTCCAATTATGTAATGATTTACTAATACTATAGAAAATGCTAATTGTGTTTTTTTTTAACCAAACATGTATTTCTGTCATAAAATTTAGTTTGATATCCTTCTCATTAACAATTTTAAACATTTAAGGTTAACTGATAAAATTTTATTTTCATTTACATTTCTTCTCTCTTAGATAACAGCCCACCAGAATTGTCTTTGAAAAATGAAAGTTTAAATTCCTTTGGCCATTGGGTGGTCAGTCATGGAAAAAGTGCCACTCTTGAAGTTGTTACCCAAGATAATGATGGAGATGAAGTCTTTATTGAAACAGTAGAAACTCCAGCAGAGTTTATTGTATCGGAAAATAATATAATATATTCAGCTGATGTTTCAAGGCCTACAAAATTGGGGTATCCAGAGACATATTTATTTTTACAGAAAATCTTGAAAATATTGGAATTACTTATTTTTAAATATATAAGCCTTAACCAGCAAAATACTTTAAAGAATATAATATTTATGCATATTAAGCAAATTTTCATAATCAGATCATTTAAAAAGATATTTTTTTTTAAAAATGGTTTTCACTGTAGTTATTTATTAAAAATCCAATTCACATTTTTTCATAACATTCTTCTTGCACTTCCTGTGATGACAATTTAAACAAAGCTATAAATGATTTTCTGTTTCAGAATCACAAACTGTTTAGGCATTAAAAATAAAGAGAAAAAATATTTTAATTAATTTACGAATATTAATTGGAGAATAATGACATTTTCTAACTTAATTTTTTTTTAAATAAAGCGTAAGAGCTAAAGATTCCAAGGGTGCATACAGCCCTATTGTCTATGTGACTATTGCTGTATGTACTGGCTGTAATGAACATGGGGTGTGCACCAACAACACAAGGAACACAGGATCTAGTGATGGCTATTTTCAGATTTTTAAATGCAACTGTTTCCCTGCATATACAGGTATTAACAAAACAAATAGCCATCTCCTGTATACTATTTCTAACTTATATCTTTGTGTGTTACATATTAAATGAAGCTGACTTGAAATTCTCATGTGACATGATTCACTTGAAGAAATTTTATACAAAACGAAAAATGCGTAATGTTTCAGAGGTATGTCATTTAAGTCCTTAACAGATCAATCAAATAGCCTGTTTTATTATTAGTGATGTATCTGTATGTGGTGCAGAAAATGATAAACTCAATAAATGTGTTTTTTACTGGCTTTTTCACATAATTTTAATGCTTGATTTTAGAGAAAAAATGACATTGTACTTCTTTTAGTGAAGTTTTGAAACAAGGATATGTCAAATCACATCATTTTTAAATGAAAATATGCCATGCAAAGAAAAAAATTAATAATTTTAAAAATTAGAAAGAAGCATAATTAAAAACCACATTTTCCCCAAGAAATTATGTGAATTAATTTATATTTGATATTTTATTGACCACTTAGTGTTTACAGACTTAACTTTTTTTTTTCATTTATTTTCTTTTTTAAAAAATAACATTGGTTTATTTTTTATTTTATTTGCTAATGTAGTATGTTTATGTTTATAATATCTAAAATTAAAGATAGCATATTGCATCCATTCATTTAAAAAAGAACAGAGTTGATTTATTACAGGTGCTAAAAGTAGTTGTTTCAATCAAAAAGGGAATAAGGACAAATTTACATATTTTTATATATGAAGGCTTACTGTTCATTGTTTTAAATGTTATCATATGTAAAATAAGTATTAAAAATTAGGGCTGATACCAATTCAAACCAAAGTTTGCCTCATTTAACAACAGCCTTATAATATGCTTTTTTTTACGCAAGATAACATCTAATATTATCTTCCATCTCCAGGTGCTGACTGTGAGTCAGAGTTGGATGCCTGTGCCAGTAAACCATGTTCTGTAGGACAGGAATGTACAGATCTGACAGCAGCTGAGCAAGGGAATAATATCACAGGATATTTGTGTGGTTCTTGCCCTAGTGGATATACAAATTTAAATGGAAAGTGTGTTGGTCAGTACACATTTGCATAAAACATATTCCATCTTAAAATGTGTATTGAATGATTTTTTTTTAACAATAGTAAAAAATTTATCATGGAATTAGATTTATTAAAAGAATGTATTTCTTGTAACTGAACAAACATATATTTAGAACAATACAAAGGAAATTCAATGTTAATATTTTTAGACAACATTTGTAGTGAGAGACTCAAAAGTTGTGTACATTTAATGTAGGGAACATGTTAAGATATAATCAGAGATTTATATGAAAAAGTGATGTCAGTCTGTTTTAGATTTTAAACATTTAAGTTTATATTACAGATGTAGATGAATGCTCAAACAATAACATCTCATGTCATCACAACTGTATAAACACTGAGGGCTCCTTTACATGCAGCTGTAGAAATGGTTATAGACTTGATACCAGTGACAAGAAAACTTGTAAAGGTATAGATAAGTCTTAAGGTCTTAATTATTTAAAAAATGTCATTCATATATATGAAAGAAATACAGAATCACTAAATTATGCTCATGTTTAGAAATATTCTTTTTTTCTTCTTTTTTAATTGCTTGATATTTGTCACAGAGTTTAAGAAGAGGAGGAGGTCGTACTTTCTATTTCTTGTTGTTTTTTCATTTGTCTTGTCTGCTAAAGAAGGTTCTTACCTGAAACATTCTTTTTTTATATATATTTCATACTTCTACATACCTTATTCCACTATTTCCTAATTATGTCAATATTATATTCTACTTATTCTAAAAAAAACAAAAACATTCTTGACAAGTTTCTAGCTATTCCAAAAGTTTCTTTAAAATGTATTTGTTTTATTTTTCAATTAATTATTATCTTTTTTACATGAGTTTTATTAATATTCAAAACTAATACATTGTTTCATTAACAAAAACTTGTTTTAGATGTTAACGAGTGTGAAGAACAAACATCCCAATGTCAGCACAGATGTATAAATACAGAAGGCAGCTATAACTGTTCTTGTATAGAAGGCTATGATATGAAGCCTGATGGTTATTCTTGTGAATTATCAAGTAATTTGGGCTTTATCTGATGTTAACAGATGCATAAGTAACATTTGTAGACCTACTCATAATCTTTTATCATGGAACTCAAAAAATTTTCTTCAAAATTTAATTTATTGGTTAATCACAGTAACACATTTTTAAAAAAAAATTATTTTAATAAACATTTCGATAGTATTCAGGGTAATTCCAGTTAAAATACTACCTCTGTGCAATTAATAGGCCTACTTCATCAAAAAAAAATCTATAAAATTATATAAATTTTTTTTATTGGTAACTTTGGTTTGCCGCTAATTTTAACAAATGATAATCTTTTATTTTAGTTACTGGATTTCAGAGATGCACCCAATGCCAACACACTTGTGTTTTTAATAAGATTAATAATACAGCCACCTGTGAATGCAACAACGGTTTTCTTCTAGATCCTAAAAATAAAGCTGAGTGTATAGGTATAAAATAAAACAATATTACTTTTTAAGAAGACCTAGGTGTATGTTAAACCCAATGGATTCTTATATCACACAAACATGAAAATTCACTTCATTTACTCAATGGGATTTACAAATAATGTATTCTTAAATGCTTTCATTTGCCTTCTTTTGAAAGTAAAGTAAAAAAGTACCATCTTTTATTTAAGTTTTTCTTTCCAGTAACTCATTAAAGTTCTTAAAAATGAACTTAAAAATAATTTGAATTTAAAAACAAATTTAAATTTCGTATTTTTATATATTTTAGAAAATTCATCTAAAGAAAAGTTTTTATGTTTTTTAAAAAAAAAGACATAGATGAATGTCAAAATGAAAACATGCCATGCAGCCAGGTGTGTATAAATACAGATGGAAACTTTTACTGTAATTGTTACCATGGTTACCAATTACAGTCTGATGCAGTCTCCTGTAGGGGTAAGTTTTGTTGCATTAATTTACAGTGTTTTGTTTGAAATTTATTTTAAATGTATGTCTTTCTTATCAAGGAATAACGTATAAATTATCCAATATTTATCCAATTTTAATAAGTAAAACCCTTTTCAACAGGTTGTTTTATATTTTAATACAGCTTGTGAGGTTCCATTTTATGGTGAAAACTGCAATAAAACCTGTGATTGTAATGGCAGAGGATCTTGTAACACTGTGAAAGGATGTGTTTGTAATGATAACTGGAAAGGGGTCAATTGTCATGTTGATGTGGATGAATGTGACATCATAGGTTCGTGTCCTGAAGGACAGTTTTGTGAGAACACAAATGGGTCATTTACATGTTCATGTCCCAATGGCTATTTCATGGATGGAACTGTCTGTAAAGGTCAGTGCTTGTCTTAGTTAGATAATACAGAATAAAAATTTTAATTATTAATATTTTGGAGACTGCATCAATGATTTTGCTGTTAAAAAGCATGTGATCATGAAATTCTAGTCTTGTTAGTCTAAAGTTGTTGAAATTTGCAACTTTTTCTTTTTACTCATGTCATTAAAGAAAAAAGTCATTGTAAACAATAAAAAATTAATTTTATGACACTAATTGAAACAATATTTTAAAAGGCTTTTAATTTTTGTTAAAGTTTGGCAGTATATAAATCTCATTTTTTTATAATAATAAATTCTTCCTAGATATTAATGAATGTTCCAGTCTTCAAACTAACCTAACATGTAATCTACGAAGAGAAATTTGTGTTAATACAAAGGGTAGTTACAGATGTGAGTGCAAACATGGCTATGCCAGGGGTGACAATTCTGTTTGTCAAGGTAAGAATTTAGAATGTCCCTTTTTTATTTTGCTATAATAGGCTCCTCTTGCTACAATTCATCTTGATCAAAGATGCCAATTTCTTGCAACAGAGAAATGAGAATTGCAAATTGTCAAAATACATACAAGTATAGAATATTATATATAGAGTATATTTTATTTTACATAAACATAAATAAGTATTAAATTATTCATTGTACATTTACAAAGTTGATAGTGTGTAAATTTTTATAGTTCATGATTTCAATCTCAACTTCTTTTTCCTTTCATAAAATTAATATAGTTTATATGCAATTAATAATCAAATAGAGTTTTTTTGTTTTTAATCTTAAGACATTGATGAATGCAACCTTGGTGGAGACAGATGTCAGTATCTGTGTCATAATGTTGAGGGTAGTTACAACTGTGAATGTGAGGCAGGTTATGTGCTAGCTGAGGACAGGCATAGTTGCATAAATGGTATTTTTTTACAAAAGATATGAGTTGCAACCATGTAATTTTAATAAATTTTTTAATCAATTGCAATGTCTTTAATAATTTAACTTAGTTTTTAATTTAATGAGCTTTAAACTTTTCTAAAACAAAGATAAACCATAATTTAAATTGTTCATATATTTATAAATGAAATTATTTTTTTTTCCTCAGTTTTTCATTTTTACTCTTTTTTAAAATTAGAATCTAACTTTTAAAAAGTAGCAGTAGCAGACTTACCTAATAATCCATTTTTAAAAAAAAAATGATAAACAGGGGAGGGTTAGAAATCAGAGAGTGTTAAAGATTCATTCATTATTTGACAATGATCAAATGTTCATATAAAATATTTACACAGTAGGCCGCTTCTAATGATATAATTTCATAGGCAAGAGCTAAAAAATTTTAACTTCTTGTGTTAACATTGTAAACAATTTTTCCTTCCAGTACAAGATCTTTGTAAAGCAGCTAAACTTAACTGTACACATGGATGTAGTTTGGATGATATGGGTAAACTTTACTGCATTTGTCCTCGTGGATATATATTAATTGGAAGTGAAAGCTGTGAAGGTGAGTAGCTGTTTTTTTAATTTTATAGCAAATTTGGGGAGGTTATGAGTGGAATTGAATTTTTAGCCAGTACTAAATGGCTTAAGTGCTCATTAGTTTAAAAAATGAGGAATGCATTGCAAATATTGCTAAAAAATTATTTTTTTTATTTCTCAATATAACCACAGTGGGTCTCTAAATTAATTTAAAAATAATATGTTTCACAATTAAATAAATGCTAACACATTTTACAACAGATATAAATGAGTGTAATAAGCCAGAAAATAACAGCTGTTCACATAAAGATGGATGCATTAATACACATGGTGGCTACACTTGCTCTTGTCCTCCTGGTGCCAAGTTGGATAATGATGGTAGAAATTGTCTTGGTAAGTCTTTTTTTCAGCTTATTTTTTGGTTTAAATTTTGATTTAGAAAATTCCATGACTATGTTTTTTTAAAAAATTTAATGCTAGTAACAAAGCATGCAAAATTATCTCAATTTTTAAAAAATATATGTTGCTGGATGTACTCTTTTTATATTTTGTTTTGTTGCTCTTTAAAAAAAGTAATTAAATTATCTAGTTAAAAAATCGATTTCTTTCGTTCTTATTTACTTTTTATAGATTGTACTGGAGACACCTGGGGAATAGAATGTGGTCATGATTGTGTTTGTGGAATAGGGGCTGAGGAATGTAACCCGAAGATTGGCTGTATCTGTAATACTGGGTACACAGGTCTGTTCAGTTGTAGCTTATTTCATTTTATGTCGATGACTTTATCATTTGTAGCCAAAATATTTAAAATATAAAAAATATTTATCTAAAATGTCCAGATATTTACTCAATAGTTTCTTAAACAGTTGAAGAGGAAAATTAACCATATCCATTTTCCAGTGCAATCAGGCTTTTTTTTTTTTTAAATACCCACTCATTTTTTTAAAATGTACACATTTTTATTTATTGTATTCTATATATTTTATTGCAATAAAAAATTTAAATGTGATTTTTTTATTTTAGGTGAGCACTGCAACATTGACATCAACGAATGCACAACTGGAAATTTGTCCTGCAAGGCAAAAGAAGTTTGTGTTAACATACCTGGCAGTGCTACATGTCAATGCCTTTCTGGATTTCAAAAAGATCTGAATGGCAGTTGTGTTGGTATGTTTTTGTGCTCAATTTTTTAAATTTAAATCAAATATGCATTGCAATTTTTGAAAATAAAAAATATATTTAACTGTTTAATTTTTATTTCAGATATCAACGAGTGCTCTGGTAAAAATAATTGTACTCAATTATGTACAAACACAGAGGGTTCATACAGCTGTTCATGTTACGATGGCTATACGTACAACTTGACAAGAAATGAATGTTTAGGTATGATCTGATTTGATACTTTTGTCAGTGAACTCGATATGTTAATCTTATTTTAACAAGATCATATAAATGAGTTTTTCCATTTGTTAGCTTTGGACCGTATAAATTTATTATTGTATACATTTTTATATTAAGGGTGGATGGGACTCATTAGCCTTGGAAGGCTAACTCTGAATTCAAACCAGGAGCCAAAATGATCAATAAATTGTGGGCCCTCAAATATGAAAAAAAAAAATATTTAAATTTTTTAAAGTTTATATTTCAGTGCACAATAGTTTAATTTATTAGCCTCTTTGCCTGCTGAGAAAATAGAACATTCTGTATAACATTATGGAGTAATATAGAATATGCATAACTTTGGTAGATATGGATGAATGCACATTGGGGAAAAATCAGTGTGATGAAATCTGCACAAACACAGAGGGAAGTTATCGTTGTTCTTGCCCTTTAGGATTATATCTACAAAGAGATGGCGTTTCTTGTGGAGGTTAGATCTTTTCATTTTATCTATGTAGCTTAGTTCTCAGACATATGTATTTTAAGTGTCTGTCGCTTATACATTTCTCTTATAACTAAGTTTGAAGCATCGCAAAACTGCTTTGAAAAATACTTTTTTTTAGTATGCAAATATTAAAATATTTTTTTTAAAAATATATTATATTTGTTAAAAATAAGTAGACTAGACCTGTAGAAATATCTATTAAAAAGGTTAAAATTGTGTGATTAAACATCAAAATAGGGATGTATTTTTTATATCATTTTCATCCCAAAACAAAGAAAACAAAGATAAACCCTTAAATGTATGTATTAAGAGAAAGTCTTAGTTTAAATATAAAATATGTTTGGAAACATTACTGTTTTTTATTAAAGTAAATAATAAACACATCATTTAAAAATTACAGCGCTATGGCAAAAAATAAATTATTCCTGCAATGTTTATCCCTTCTAAAGCATTTGTTAAAACTAAATTTCATTTCAGCTAACATTCCTTGCATCAATCCAACATTCTGTGGTGAGATATGTGCCAACATTAATGGTACTGACACATGCTTTTGTGGGAAAGGAAAAATTCTAGCAATGGATAATGTTACATGTTCTGGTAATTATGTTTTGTTTTCTCCAGACATCTAGTCCATAAACTTCAGAAATTTCTTTGGTTTAAGCATGGTAGTTACATATTGGAACTAAACTGGTGTTTATTACATAAATCATACAAATTTCTGATTATTTTGTAAATAAACTTATTTTTATTTCTTTAATTTAAAAAAAATAATTTTTTAAAGTAAATATAATATATTTTTTTAAAATGTTATTTGAGATGTGGATTTGTGTGAGCAAAGTTCATGCACTGAAGGATGTGTTGAAACTAAAGGAAACACCAGCTATGAATGTTTATGTAATGCTGGAAAATACTTGGCTTCTGATGGAATTACTTGTACAGGTAACTTGACCAAATACTTTACATTTTTGTTATTACATGTCATTCAATATAAATGTATTACCTAAGAATAAATTCATTTATTTAAGCTTTTGATAACTAATTTTTTATTAATAATTGATAAAAAAATATTTATAGGCATGTGCATGAAATGTAAAAAATCTATACTTTCAGAATGCATTGATGGGAAATATGGTTTCAACTGTAGCAGTAATTGCTCCTGTGACATGTCACACACTGAAACTTGTGATAAGCTTTTGGGGACTTGTAAATGTAACAATAATTGGAGAGGAGTTAACTGTGTTGATGATGTAGATGAATGTGCTACAAACTCTAGAACATGCCAAGAACATTCACACTGTGTTAATACAAATGGTTCTTCCTTTTGTGCTTGCAATGATGGATATCTTGATAGAAATCAAGTTTGTATAGGTAGGAAACATTCACTTGTGTGTGCATTACCTTGTCTAAATAAGCTTTACCATTACTTTAAGTAAAACTATAATTACATTTCTTTATCACAATAGAAGAAATCACAATGTAAATTTAGAAAATACGATGAAATGAAATTTGTCTAAAAGTTTGAGTAAATAAAATTAGCTTGCCTTTTTTTATGGGATGAATATAAAAATTGATTTATTAAATAAAAGAATATAATTTTAAAATATAAAATATAAAAATTTGTAAAAAGTTAAAATTCTGGAAGTAGCTTATTTTGTGGAATAGGATATCACTTTTTTTTAAATATATATGTTAGTTAGCTTTACTTAATAGTAGACCTTCAACATCTGTAAAATATTTAAAAAGGGATGCTAAAAAGGATATAATTTTTTTTTAAAATTTTTAGTATTTCATAGTTAAATATATGTTTATGGTTTTTGAAAAACGCTATTTATTTCTTTAAAGTTCTATATTTTTTCAAACACTCTCCCAGAATGTGATGACAACTACTATGGCCCAGCTTGCTTATCTCGTTGTTCTTGTGGAGAACATTTCAACTGCAACAAAACTAATGGAGCCTGCTACTGTAAACCTGTTTGGAGTGGAGACAACTGTGACATTGATATTGATGAGTGTAATGAATCTCTTCATGTCATTCACAACTGTAGCTCAACACTGCATGAAGTCTGTAGTAATACAGAGGGAGGCTACCAGTGTAATTGTGATGTTGGTTACACTAAATCCTGTGATTCCTGTAGATGTGAAGGTACACTCTCTTTAATATGGTGAATTAATAAAAAATAATATTTAACAGCTTTTAACAGAACAAATATATACTGTAGGTTTGACCAGGCAATACCCTGACAATTAAAAATCAAATATCAGTAAATCTGTTTCAAACCTCATCTTTTAGTTTCATTCATTTTTTTTTTTTTACCAACTATCAACACAATTAAATTTTATTTTCTGCCCACCTGGCTTATTAAATTTTGATATTACTGGATTATCACATGAATCATTCTCTTTGCACCCATATACCTTATATCTAAACACATAGCATAGTATCAAACAGACTGTTTTTAACTTAATTTCCTATAAGTCTTGGATAAAGTTTGATCCTCTGATCATTTATTAATTTCTGATGTGTGTCAAGGCAACAATTTGCATATTACAACCACATTTTTTATTTGATTTTTGTTTAATTTTACAATCATCCACACCTTGGTATAAGTATTGTTTTTGTTTAACAACACTATTCACAGATATTGATGAATGTACAGCAGAACAATTTGTGTGTAAAAACAATTCTCACTGTGTCAACACAAAAGGTTCCTACGTGTGTAAATGTGATATTGGTTACTTGGATGAGAAAAATCAATGTAAAAGTGAGCCATATTTTTTTTTCAAATACCATTATTGATTTATTTATTTTTTTATACATGTAATCATTTATAAAATGTCTATTTTCATGGCTTTAAAAACAAATTGTGTAGAAAAATTCAGAACACTACCTTTAAGTATTTTATTAGTTTTTGTTTAGATATTATATCAATCTATATATATAATTCGCCAGCAAAGGTCAAACAAGACGGGTCAAACACCAAGCAGGCTATTTATAGAATCGCCAGAGTGTGGTTCAATAACGAGTTCACTAGCGCGTAAAATATAATTCCTGATAACTACGCTAAATGATATATATATATTTTTTTAATAACACAATTACGTTTGGTGCGTAATATTTCCTTTTCGGAAATGAAATCGTCTCAATTTAAGTATTGTGTAAAAAAATATTCGGTTTAAAAGTGGTTGGGACATGAGAATATTAATATAGTTCATGGGCGTGAAATAAAAAGTGTGCAGTGAAGTATCATGGGGGAAGGGGTGTAGCAAATATTGGGATTCTTTTAAATGTGCATTACTTGAGTTCAAGTTTTGTCAAGTACAGACCTGTTTACCCTCAAACCCTTAAAATCGTACTATATCATCACAAAATCGTTCAATACCTTAGATTTATAGTAAAAAATAAACATACAGTATATATAATGTTTACACCTCAAAATTGTACATCGTACGCCAAAATCGTAAGAGTAAACAGGTCTGCAAGTAACTTTACTAGATGGGAAGTTCACGTATTGCTGACGCCGTCGCCAATGTTTGGTGGGCTATATCTAGTTATCTTAACTTTATGATTTTTAAAAAGAAAGCTATAAAGACTGCCAAATTCACAGATAAGGAAATTTTATTATCTCTCAAGTTAAATATTTGATTAAATGTTATACCTTTTTTTTTTTTAAATACACATACTTTTTAAGATGCCTTCTAGTGTTTTTCCTTTCTTGTAAATAAAATATAATATATTTAATCTTACTATAGCCTTTATTTAATTTCATATTATTATAACCTTAAGCCATTTAAAAGGAATATTATTTTTCTGAAAAGTTATGTTAAACTTTTTCTTTTTCTTTAGCACCACCTTTGATTCATGCATTTCCTTCAACAATAACATTGAATTATAATGCATCAGGTGTCAATTTGACAAATGAAACTTTTATAATATCGGTTCAAACAATGGTAAGCATTTGTCACCTTATTTCTTTAAATCACTCTAAATTTTTTAATTGTAATGCTAAGACTTTCTATTTGTTAATGAAATAGGAACACAGATTCACATGACTAGAGATTTTAAAATATCTTTCCTTTTTATCCATTCAGATTAAGAAGTAGTCATACAATGACAATTTATTTCCAAATTTCTCTTCTATTTTAAAAGAGATCACATGTGTTTAATATAAAGAAGCAAAATAGGCCAAACAATTTTTTTTAACAAAAATTATTTGTTGAAAATGGTTAAGGATGGTCAAGGTTGGTATTATACAATGTATATAAAAATTTCATATATTATCTCAACAGATTGTTTATACAAACGGTTGGTCATTTTATAGTTACATTTTAAAACTAAGAAATCCAAAAAGATTTTAGATTATAAACAGTATTACATGATATTTGTAGTCATTGTGAAATGTCGTCCACTTTCAAAAAGTCACTTAAAACCCATCTGTTTAGGTCCGCCTATGACCTGTGATGCACCCTCCTTGCCCTGCCTCATTTTCTGTCTCAGGTTGATCCTGTAGTATAGGCCAAAACGTGCCAAAGTGTCCTCGTTTTATAGCCCTTTTAATTGTTTCTATAGTATATTAGTTACTATCCTAGTGTCTCATTTTTATTTTACTTAGTTTACATGTTTTTAATAATTGTAAAGTGCTTAGAGCTTTAAGGTAAGCGCTATATAAAAATGCCCAAATAAATAAATAAAAAAATAGTATATCAATGTTTAAGTTAGTGTAAAAAAGATTTTAGAAGATAATTATTTGCACAAAAATGTAATTCATTTATTTTTATTCTTTCTTGTAGTTGACTGATGTTGTGAGAGACATGAATCCACTAATCCTATCAGTAAAAATTATTAGACTGAGGTATTCATTTTAGTCTTTACTGTCTTTTTTCTTTAACTATCTATCAAAATCTATGCATTTCTCAATCAATTTTTTTATAACTTTAATAATTTTGTGTTGAAGATCATTGTAAATATTAAATTTATTACTAATTTTCCACAAATTAGTAAATATAAGTATTAATTAACAATTGATATATTATTTTTATACAGGGTGGCCGAGAAAAAGTGATAACCTATGTTACAATGTAATATAACAAATGTTAATGTAAACTGTATCAATTTACTGATTTACTTATGTACCTTTATAACTATATAACATTATTATTATGACAATTTCCGATGGTCATAAATGACAAAACATTATATTCATTAAATTATATTAAACAACCTTTTGCTATGACATGTTCTCCCTTTTAATTGTATAATTGTTTTTTTATTGCCACAATCTTTTTAAATTCTGAAATATATTTATTTAAAGATCTCAAGATTTTTTCCAAGTCCCTTGGGTGAATAAATTCAAATCCTGACAAGAATACTGTTTATGTTACTAATGGGCATTCTATAGCTGTTACTGTTAAAAACATACTTTTGCTCATGTTCACAGTCAAGGTAGCCTTATTGTAGAAAGTAGCTTCACCATGGCCACTAATAGCAGCACTGATAAGTCAAGTGAACTAAGTCTGGCCAACACATTAGTGGAGATGATGCAAAGAGAAATTAATATCACAATAGATAATCAGGTGGTCAGATTGATGTCTCTTAAAGTAAGCGAAACAGAAAGTAAGTTTTCACACAAGTGGTGACAAAAAATGGTTTACACAAAACTACATTTTAAAATGATATTTAAAAGTCAATTTTGGTAAGTTTGATGTAAAAAGCTATTTAATGATTTAAAAATTCATTTTTGTAATCCTTAAAAAAACTATATGAATTTATGTTCACTTAAAAACTTTGTTTTTTTTTCAATCTTTTCCAAGTTTTATGATATTCTCTGTGTTGAAGTTATCTCTTTTTCCAGCCAACTTGTAACAGATTGACTAATTTATTAAAAGTTTTATGATTTCTTATAATTTTATATCCAATTATTCTCCATAAACTTTAAAATAATTATTGCAGTACTGATGAATGATAAGCCGTGTGATATTAGGATTAAGATATCACCATGCTCAAATTCTGAGATTTGTGAAGAAAATGGAAAAGTGACTGTGTGCAAGTGAGTTATTTTAGGTTTTTTATGAATTTTTGTAATTATATGTCTGCAAATAAATTGTAAAAACCAGTGTTAAAAAATACTCGCGTTGCTAACACCCTCCGGGGATTGGAGGTGACATTTTAAGGGTGCAAGGAAAAGATGAGCCATTGACTTTGTTATTGCGCTATAAATTAATATATAAATATCAATGTTTATCATTCCAATTTTTTCAGATACATTGGGGTAAAAGGTATGATGAATTTTTTTTAATTTTGATTCTTTATTTCTAAATAGATTTTATGATAGTTTTAAAAAAATAAATAAATATGGTAGTGATAGGATACATGGTGCCCACAGAATTTTTTGCATGTGAGTCCATTTATAAATTAATGCATAACTAACTGCGTTAATCTAAACATGAAATGCAAAGCTGTATAATTTGTTGCAAAATTGATAATTTCATAAGTCCTAATTAATGATTAAGTTCACATTTTGTTGTGTTGATTTTTTTTCAATACTAGATAATTTATTAATTTCAGAGGAGTAATTTGACTTAAGCTGTGGGCAGCCATGATAGGAAATCAAGTTATGTCCTTTCGTATAACTATCAAATATTTTATGTTATAGTTGCCTTCTTTTTTGGGTAGTATCAAGTTCAATTTCAACTCTTATTTAAATCAGAATATTTCTAAAATTGATAACATACTACACATCTGAATGACAGGGTTTTTTTCATATAATATTTCACTAATGGATCAGAATTTCTTCCTATATGTAGATTCTCAGAACCTCATCATTGGCTTAAGTGTTGGTATATCCCTTTTTGTCATTTTGTTTGCCACAATTGGGATTTTAATTTATTGCTGGAGCAAAAAAAATATGGGAAAAGAGAAAATAGACGGGAGACAACCCAAAGAGCTGTTTGAGTCTAAACTCACCAGTCGGTAAGTACTCGAGCTTTATTTTTAAATACATTAATTTGTTGGTAGCCTGCTTCCTGAACCAGGATGTTATGAGGAGATATACTGTCCCACACATTTTTTCAATGCTGTATTTGTTCTTAAATTCTTGAAATTTGAAAGTATTTTTCATCTTGTTCTCCCCTCTCTGAGTTTTGTTGTTACATTATATAATAGATGGCTTTATTAATGTGCTATACTATAGATATCTCTTGATACATTGTAATACAAATATATGTATTGATACATTATAGTATAGATTTCTGTATGAACTAAATATTTTTAAAATTATATTTTATAATACAATGTTGCATATTTTTAAAATATTTATTTACGAAAAATTTATTTAGTCTCATAATGAACTATATCAGGTCTGAAAGTAAAAGTGAAGATACTCAAAGTGATAAAACTTATGACAGCATTGAAAACCCTTCCTGGCACAACAGTAAGCAAAATCATTTATTGAATAATTATATTCCATAATTGAAGCACTTAAATAATTCCCCCACCCCTACCTAATACCAATATAGAGCAGTTAATTTGAAGACAAAGTTACTAAATAACACTAATTTTTATTTTACTTAGTTTACATGTTTTTAATAATTGTAAAGCGCTTAGAGCTTTAAGGTAAGCGCTATGTAAAAATGCCTAAATAAATAAATAATAGATAATTGGATATTTTTTTTTAAAGTGTTTTTATTTGATGAAGTAAACTTGACTCATCATTTGTTAAGTAAGCCCTGCTACTTTAATAAAACATAATAAATATATAATAAATTAAGTGAAATTTAAAAAAAAAGGAAATGAGTATTGAGTACACAAAATTTACTCCAAAAAAGTTATAGTAATTAACTACAATGGAACCTCTCTATAATGCACCAATGCTATTTATTCACATGGAATATCAATATTTCTGTGAGACTTCATTATATGTGTACTTTAGTAGGCATCTCGGTTGCATTAGTTTCAACAAGGTAGGTTGCTTAAAAATATTGTATTGTAAAACCATGAACTAATGCAAACCCAGTTAAAAGAATCCAATTTTTTCAGACTCCAATTATTGCAATACAATGGTGTTCCACTACATTGTTACTTACCATTTTATGGTATTACAAATTTAATGGGCCGAGTAGAAAAAGTACTTTAAGTGTATTTTTGCAGTTACGAAAAATAATAAGTTTAAAGTTTTTTGTTTTTTTAAATTCTTATTTAAATATCTAAAAAGCTGCTCAAGGTATTTCTAAATCATACACTTGTGTACATTTTTCATGAATGATATTTACAGGAATGATTCAGGGGAATTAATCATAAGACAGTGCCGATCTTAATTCATTTTTGAAAAATTGTAACTTAAGTACTTTTTCTACTCACCCCTTCTTAATTTAAACTGTTTTAAGATTTGGCTTGTTAGATATACAATTAAAATACACAACAAAGAACTGAAAACTAATATTCAAAGATACCAAGCTTGTAAAATTATCAATAATCAATTTAGTTATACTGTTACATTATTATTAAAATATGAAATCAAATAAGAATACAGAAATAACATCGATATAAACTTACAGCAAGTGAAAAAGTATAAAAATAAAAGGTGCAAATATTAATCCACACACACAGGGAAACATTTTTTTTTTAATTTTTGTCTTGTCTCTCAGGTAAGTCTGCCGGTCACATTCGACCACCATAGTTATCATGAGGGAGTCAAAATCCTTCAGAATATAAAGTCTAGAAATTCAATCATCAGCGAGTATTTTCTACCTCTATGTAGACCTTCTGGAAATTGTAAATAGACTTTTCTAATCAGGGGCGGTGGGGGAAAGGAGTGTCACCACATATCACCAAGTTATTCGGTGTCATAAGTAAAAAAAAAATTGAGTGAGGGTGCAGGCCATGACTCAACAACAACCAACATTCAGGTTGAACAAAAAAATATGTCAACAAATTGAGTATAACAATCAACTGTAAGAAAATCTATTTGACTAAATATATAACTTTGAGTATTTCATGGTCTCTATAGAAGGTGCAGAAAGTTGTCATCAGTAATGACTGCTGCTGCTCTAGTTTGTTCCTTTAAAAACAGTACTTGGAACAAAAGTTTTGTAAACTACAGATAGAGCCCATGGAATGAATCTACTATTTCTTATTGAATTGGATATGAAATAATCAATGCTATGACCAATACCGCTATAAGATTTACTATTGCAATGTCTGCTTCTGAAAGGTGTGCTTTCTTATCATCATCCTATTACGAGAGTTGCCAGCCCAAATTCCCCAGTAACTTCTGCTGCACCAATTAATGACGGGATGAGTGAAACCAAAAACAGAGGTCAACCAATGTATGCTGGTAGGTTTCGACAAAATTTTACATGACAGTTGTGAAGGTCGTGCAATAAAATTTAAAAAAATATTCTGTCTATAATTGTTCTGTAGGTATAAAATCAGTTTATGTTGATATCATTATTAAACTTGTCATTTACTTGACTTGTTTTGTATGGCATATTATTATTTATGATTTTTTTTCCTCCATTTAAATTATGTTTAACTGTCAGGGAAGTAATACCTATTTTGCGATTTCTTCTGCATAAAATTATCTTCTAATCAATATTTGACTGGTTTACTTATGAAAATGTTCTTTCAGACTACAGAGATTTGAAAAAAGTCAAAGCAACATCTTATCATTTATAAACTATTTTTGCATAGTTTTTGAGGGGAAGAATGATTCTCTACTGATGTCACCACAATACCTAAATCCTTCCAGTTATTCTGTTTTTGAAAATGTTTTAATCGATTTGTGATTTGTTTACCTTTTATTTATTTTTACCGCATTTATATTATAAAAAATGTTTCCTGTGTAAATTTTATTGTTAAAGGTTTAAAAGTTTTTTAAAAAAATAATAGAGTTACTGGAGAAACATTTTCATAAAGATTATTTAGACTGGCAGTACAATTTAAATTATTTATTTGTAACAGTGATGAAAAACACATAACCTAAAATAAATGCAAGTTTCTATCAGGTTTTTAGTTTAGACTTTTATGAAATGATCTGATATTGTATTCAAATTCACTTTTTCAAATAATGTCATTTGAACAAGATAAGTTACAAGTTGAAATTTTCCTTTCATTATTTTAACATTAACTTACTTACTTTCTTAAAAATCCTATCTTTTTATACTGGAAAGATAATGTACATTTTATAGTTTCTCTTGTAGATAACTAATTATATATTTCCTATCACAATATTTTATAACTAATTTATATATTTAAAAATAATTTTTACAGTATTATTTATTTATTTTCAATTTATCTCAATTGTACATACAATATAAATCAACATAAAATTTTTTATTTGAAATCAATTTCTGTTAATTCATTCAGTTACTTAATTTTTAAAAATATTAAGATTTTATTAGTAAACATATGTACTAGAAGAAATAATAATTTTATCTTGTCTAGATTTGATATAATAAATCATTGTCTTTCTTCCATTACTTAGGACAGTGGTTCTCAACCTTCCTAATGTTGCGACCCTTTAATACAGTTCCTCATCTTCTGGCAACCCCCAAACACAAAATTATTTTCGTTGCTGTTGCTACTTCATAATTGTAGAGCACATGTGTTTTCAGATGGTCTTAAGCGACCCCTGGGAAAGGGGTCGCGACCAACAGGTTGAGAATCGCTGACTTAGGACTTGGTTAATATTTGGGATTGTTATGGTAATTCAGATTTCAAAAAAAAAATTGTGCGCTAAATTATAAATGTAACTTAAACTTGTAATAACTTAACTACCTGGAAGTAAAACTAAACCTGATTGAGATTCAGTGAAAATATAACTCTGCTCACAACAGAATTTATTATACAGCAACATAAGAACCTTTTTTATTTAACTTGACTTATTCTAAATCTTTAATTTTAGGATTATAATTTTAGAATGCCAAAATGTATTTTGATTTAAAAAAAAAAAAAAAAGTCGTGAAAGAAATTGATAAATTAGTGATTCATTTTTTCCTCTTCATCGTCATGAATGTTACAGAGGTTATAGATATTTTCTATTTTGCTCAACAAAAAAAAAAACCCAAAAACATATCCCTTGAAACTTTAACATACTTGTGACATGTTTTTAGAACAGTTTTACATGTGCCCCCTTTTTAAAGGTGAAAGCCATGATCTCAAACAAACTCTAAAAAACGTACACTCTTTTTCAAATACTCTTGGTAATCAAAATGTATACTGCAATCTAGTTGCAACCAGAGACACAAAATCGCACAATTTTTATTTAAAATTTAATTATTTTTTTAAAAATTCAGCACCTCACTTATGTAAAGTCTCTTTGTTAATCTTTTATATGAGGTTATCTATACTTACAAAATTAAAATTTTTGTGATCTCTGTTTTTTGTGTGTTGTATTTGAAAAAAAACAATTACACTGCAGCAGTCACAATCTAGTTAGTATCAGAATGAGTTCCCAAAAGAGATCACAATTTAAATTAGTTACTCGGGTCTTTATATTTCATTATTTGAGCAAATGTGCCTCAATAAAATCATCATCGATGGCAATTCTTATATGTTTTGAACAAATATACAATCATGGCATGATTGAGCAAAGAATTATTCAGGCAGATGTGAAAATGAATCAGGGAAGATCTTAATAATGAGGAACGGAAGACATTGAATTTGATATAAGTGATTTACTAAGAAACTAAGATTCTGCATTTTGTTCTGTTGGATTTAAAGGGTCAAAAATGAAAATGATGGAAATTAATAGCACTTTGCTCGGCATGGGTTTTTAACATAATTCTACTCTGAAGATAAACTAATGTCATATTAATGAGAGAAGATACTAAAATAATGTCATATTAATGAGAGAAGATACTAAACATTGATAAAATTAAATGAAAAAAAAAAATCTCAGCTCTCTTATGTATATATATATATATATATAATATATAAGTATATTGGTGAGCTTTAGGTGCATTGATTACATCCATCGTAATACTTACTTAAAATGGTAAAAATATAATTTGTTTTTATATCATCAAGAGAAAGTAAGAACAAATTTTTGTTTACATTGTATCACAAAGTAAATATGTTTATCAAAATTACATTATTATAAAAAAAAACCAACAGAAAACTAAATTAATTATCAAATTAAAAACAATATTTTAAATATAACATTAAACTTTATGAACAGCAACCAAACATGAGGTGATGATTGAAATGTAATACTGTAACATAAGAAAGAAGTACCATTTTCTTCAAGATATGAAAATAATTAACATCACTTTAACAAGCCAGTTTCATTTTGAGTAAAAACTCATTTGAACCTCCTTTCATTTAAAATAAATGTTCAACTTGCATTCTAACAATTACATCGTCTAGTTACAAGGACATTATGCCAAATACTCAATTCTGCAAGAGTGCTGCGTACAGTTAAGGGTGTTAAAAGTGAAATTGATTTGAGAAAAATCTTTTTCCAATCAATTCTACATATAATTTAAGAAAGATGATATGTTTTAAAAGTTTAACATTTTCATTATAACTGTAAACAACACCAAGCAAAAAATGTTAAATTACAAATACTCAGATCTGTCATGTATAGTAAATTCAAAGGTTAACCTGAGGCACATTGAAATGTAATGTGGTGAAAACAGTAAGTCAATAATAGTTTTTATCAACAATAAAAAAAACAAATACTATTGAATGTAATTTAGCTTTCAAACATTAATTTTGTCCAATAATTCTCTCATCCATATATATTTATATATATTATAAGAGAAGTATTCCATTAGTCTGAAAGGTTTTCTTTTCGACACAGGAGATATGTAAAATATATCACATCTGAAACATTAGTAAATTAAAGAATTTGACAAATATTACATAGCAAAAAGTCACATTTTCTGAATGTACGTGTTTGCACCTGTACATTGTGGTGCAACTACCCTTTCTGTACATACAAATAAACTCCTCATTCAGCGCCCCCCCCCCCCCAACCACCACTTTTTTTATTCTATCAATTAATTTTTACCGACAATTATGTTGTACAAGACAATTAAAGAATTTACAATAAACTTTGGACATCCAAGAAGGCCTTCAGTCAGCTAGCCTTTTGACAATCTTTGATTCAGGACAAGTAATGATGCCTCAAATTACAACATATGCACTAAACCATACAATTGACTAAAGCTGTAACTATTGGGATCCTCCAGACATCGAGCAACTTTGTGGAAGCTATCTGAATAGTTCTGTTTCCATTTCTCTGCACAATATTTACAGACATCTCATTGTGATTGAAATTAACTTTGATTTCTATTTAATAGGCTAGAAAAAGTAAGCTTAAACTTTTTGGTCATTGTATGCAAATTGGTAGGTTTTTCTAAATTTCCGTAACAGTTCCCTAGATTTATAATTAAGATATGTGTGGATACACAAGATATGTGTGGATACACATCAGACGTTTTGACATCTGGTTAAAGTTACTTGTCTCAGTAATAGCAAGTCACAAAAAGTTATATGTTAATTACGTCAATATATAATATCAAGAGTTCTTTTTTTTTCCTTTCAAGATTGAAATAGTGCTGCTGAGTTTGAATAATAGAACTTAATTGAGACAGACATTTCCATTTCATTGTGCTACATGCTAGGGTGGCTCTGATTGTCTTTACCTATCTCAGTAAGCGATGGATGGTTTTAGAGAGATTTTGAAAGGTTGTCTAATAAGACTGGGTCAAGACAAACCCCTGTAGTTTTAAATTTGATAAATGTTTCAACTATCTTCTGAAAGTTAGAGGGAATTATTTGTAAAAGTGCATAAAATAATAATTCAAAGACTCTGTTGATTAAAATGCTTTTTTAGAAATTTTAAGGAAATCAAAATCTTGCTCGTTGTTTAAAGACAAATTAAATAGTATGCATTCAGGCAAAAAAAGGACAAAACTTCCCTAAATCATACTTACTCAACAATGTTGCTTATGGAAATATTAAGAGTATCTTGTTCAGATAAATATTAATTAAATAGTGTTATTTTTATTTAACCATAGAAAAAGAGAAGATATCTTCCATCAGCATTTCTAAAGGACAAAAATCCAAGATATATTTTTGAATTTACACTTTCTACAAAACCTAAGGCACTTCCATAATTATTTACGTTCCGGAGAATATTTTACAACATAAAACTGTAACATTATGATTTATTTAATAGATTGGCACTTGCAGCTAAACGAGCACGTAAGACTTCCCTGTCACATATGAGATTATCATAGGACAAATCAATGTGTTTGGCCAACAAATAGTCCTTGAGTAAACCCGGTATGGGAAGTTCACATATCTTAACAGTGTTGAATGGGCTCAGGCACTCCCTGATGACTTGTCTGCACAAGCGTTTTAATTCCCTGGGCTCATACAGTTCCTCAAGTAGCCACTGGTCAAATATTGGTAGGTTTTTTCTGGCTTCCATGATTGTTGGATCCTCCAAAATGGCAACTGACCTGCGGCTGTCTGAACCAAGAAGCAGACGTATCCTGCCATAGTGACCAACTTTGACGGCTGCATCAATAGGCCTCTGACCTGAAATTTCACAGCACATTAAGATCTAAAGCATTCATCGGGGTATCACAGGAAAAAGTAAAGAAAATTCTAAATCACTTAAGTAGTCAATTTACCAACACTTGTGATCACACCAAACCCAAGAGGTAATTGATTATGAATATATCAAAATAACGTTAAGTTCCAGTAAATGGAAAACATGAGTGTCATTAGGATCATCTCTACATGCTGTTGCTTCATGAAATGGTCATTTTTCCTTAACAAAATATTTCACTTTAATGGTATCAAATTAAAGACTAATATATATATATTTTAATTAATACAGTTTCAAAATTCTGATAAAGAATTTAAGAAAAAATATCCTTTCAAATAATTACTGCAAATAGTATAAACAACTAAAATGACATTTAGAGGAACAATGAAAAGAAAGGATTAACCAGGAGCAATTTCACTTGATAACATCCATGCTAAATTTGATTATTTGTCTTTTCCTTGACTATGGTATTTGAAATACAACTGGATTTTTAATAGGTTCATTGAAACATAAATTGGAAAAAAAAAAGAATTGAAATTCACAATCATTGGACTGTAACTTTGCTTTTTTTTCAGACAGGAACATACCATGCTTATCTGGGTAGTCAGTTGTTGCTCCATTATTGAAAAGATAGAGGGCCATCTTTACACCAGAACACATATGGAATGCATTTTTTCCTGAAGAATCCATCTAAATTTTCAAACAGTAATTGAAGATAATTATAGGGCACATCTATTGTAATACATATTTAATCTTTAAAATACATCAAAATTTTAAATAGATTTCTGTACAAAATATCGAACATCTTTTTTCCCCCTGAAATTTAATTTTAACATTGCATTTTTCTTTATTGATAACTGTTATATTGTATTTTTCTAAATAAGAACATTATCTAAATTATTATATTATTACAGGCATCTAATACCAAAGTTACCAGGCATTTAAAAAATAAGTTTTTTTTTTATTTCATTCAAATTTATTATGCCAAGCTCTGAACATAAAGGGATTGGAAGACATAGGCATCAGTCTTTTCATGCCCCAGAAAACTTTAAGCAGCTCTCTCTGCCTTAAACTAAACTGAAGAATCAGAAATTTGATCGCTTACTTGTTGACAAGAGAGAGAGAAACAATAACTCTTTAATAAAGTTGGGAAAATTCTACCTTTATTAATATTTGACAAGAGAGAGAGAAACAATAACTCTTTAATAAAGTTGGGAAAATTCTACCTTTACTAATATCTATATAAATTGTAAAATCATGACGAAAAGAAACTAGGGATAGGCTTTCCTGATATACAACAGAACTCATGACCTACAATGTTAATGTCTGCCCCAAGCTCTAATAAAACTTGTGCTGCTGCTATCTCTCCTGCAGCAGCAGCCATCATCAAAGGTGTTGCACCTTGTTTGTTTGCCATATTAATTTTAGAGCCACCTTAAAAAGTTTGTAGCAAAATAAAATCAATAAATAAAAAATACACATTTTTTAAGCAGCCATACAATTAAATAAGACTTTTTGTTTTTAGATATGGCAAAAGCAAAGAAAAAAATGTAATGCATAGTTTTACAAGTTAAAACTTAAGTTACACTAATAAGTTTTCATGAAAAACGCGTATTTAAAAATAATTCCAAGCAGGATCATTATGTCAAATTTTTTTTTCATGTCCTGATAATCTATTCAATAGCAGCTGAACATTAAAATATAATTATCATTATAAACACTATGTATTAAGAGAGAAGTAATAAGATAAAAAAAACTAATTAACTATATCTATTTTTTATATAAAATTTAACAGTACTGTATAAAGAAGCATAGACAAAGTTATGTTTAGAAAATACTTTGACCCTCATACATGCATGCAATAACATCACTGAATTACCTTGAATCAAAGCCCTAACAACATCCAAGTTATGGCTGTGTTTTGACTTGAAGCACATGAATAAAGGTGTTGTGCCTTGTGAGTCAGGTAAGTTGGGATCGGCACCGGCATCAAGCAAGTCTTGCACCATTGTCAAGCTGGCATTTTCTATTGCAATGATAATAGGTGTTCGCCCACTTGCACTCTGTATGTTAACATCGGCTCCTAATTAATGATGGCAATGAATGAATAACTAAATAAAACTTAATGTAAAGTGCCATGCTTTTCATCAATTACAAATTTTAGAAATACTGTGAGCTATCTGTAACCAGATTTACGTTCAGTATATTCAATCTTAAAATTATTATTCATTTGACAATTAAAAAAAAAATTCTGTTGCCCCATGAGAATTTTGTTCTTTCATCATTCATAAGAAGTTCTGTAATATTCATCAATGCAGTTAAGTTTTTTATAGATATATATATTTAAATTTCTGATTAGCTTAATCAAGTGCTTTCTAAACTTATTATGTTTGTGACATAACTTTTGACACATTCATGATTTCAAAACAAAGTAATTCCCTTATACTTATATACTCGAGGCTAAACTAACCAATTTCAAATCACCCAAATGGAAACAAACAATTAGTAGTATTCTTATGATAAAATGTATGGCGCCACAATATACCTCATCAAAACCTTTCATTTATGTTTTATTTTAAATATAAGATTTTTTTTTTAAAATTTGATACTATTCCAAGATTTATATGTTTTTTATTTCTGTCAAGTGACGAAACTTCATTATGAAGGTATCACACTACTGTGTCGTAACACATAGTTTGGGAAGCACTTGCTAATTGTATCTTTTTAGTGTACCTCTATCCACAAGAAGCCTGACAACATCTGGGCGATTTACTGCCACAGCTGTTGAAATGGGAGAAAATTTGTTGGCATCCAATGCATTCACATCTGACCCGTAAGACAAAACTGCTTCTATTGTCTGCAATATAATAAAATAAGCAAAATATTCAAAAATGCAGTTTACTTTGCACTACTTACATAGTCAACAAAAGTTTGCCTTAGGCCAAGACAAATCATGTAATGATAAAGAAAGAAAATCTTTATCTTGCAAATCTTAAACATTTTTAAACAAACAATAGACTTTTCCAAGCATCACATTTAAAAAACAAATGATATTTTCTTATACTGATGGAGAAACATACAATCTACTATACTGATTACAAAGGAAGAATACTTTTGTTATTTTTTTATAAAGGGCATTGCGTATTGGCCTTAAAATCTGAAAATGCTTTTAGTTATTGAAGAAGACTAAATTTTAGCATTGGAGAAATTGAAATATGAATCTTGTAAGATCTTCTGTAAGTGTACCTTGATTGTTCCATGAATAACTGCTACATGTAAGATTGTGTACTCTTTTAATCTCAGTGATCTCATCATTCTGCCTTGACATTGGACAGTGTAAATCTTTCCACCTTTGGGTTCTAGAGTTTAAATAATTTTACATGTTAATGTTCAATCACATGGGGTTTTTAAATCTTGTTGTTGCAAATAAATAGGTTAAAACACAAAGAAATCTTGGAATTTGATAGTAAGCAACCCTAATTTTTTTTAAATGTTATAATTATTTATGTTCAGGTTTCTTTGTTATTTATGTTAATGTTTACAGTGAGCTTTGATTGTGCAAATTATAAAAGATCCTTTCAATGATTTGTAACTATGAGACAAATCTGCGCTAATGAAACTGTCAGTTAAAGATTCCATACACATTGACAGGTTTGTAAACCAACCTTTCAGTTGTAAACCAAGTTATGGTCATTGAACATCTTTTGAACTTATATAAACATGGAGCAAAGCCTGAGTTATGATTTTGGGGGACTGCTCTGAGCTCTGGCAAATATTTCATTTCAAGGGGCCATTTTATATGTATAATTTATTCATTTGTTTTATACTATACAAGGAATAATTTGAGAAGCATAAATCTAAGTCATTGTTCATGTAAAATTTGTCCAATGCCAATCTAACCCCTTGCCATTTATTCTTGCCCATTCTAACTCAAAGGCATCTCCCTTAAACCCATTAGTCCATTTCTCTACTCTCACCGTCGTATGTACCTAAATTGCATACCTGTCAATCTCATCCATGAACTCTCCAGTTATAGCTCACTGCTGATCCACATTACCACATTTTTTTATAAAGGGCATTGCGTTCAGAGTTTATTTTCAATGTGAGGCTTAAGGCTATACACAGGGCACTAGAAAGTGTGCAAAGTACGCTGCAAAAGTTGAAACTTGTGGGACTCGACCTGGTCATTTTCTCCAATTCAAGATCTGATATTCAGATCTTATATTCAAGATCTGATATTCAGATCTTGAATAAGGAACCACAAAGCACCATCTAGGTTATCGCCATCATTGATGGTGTGGGTAAGATAGAAAAAAAAATCAGAGATAAGGTAACAGTGCTTGACATTGGGAAGGCCAGGGCGGTGGGAGAGTCCTTTGTTCAAAAGATGTTATATGGCACAGCCCAACAGAGCATGTTGCCACAGTACAAGCCTGGCCTGTCAAAAGTGCCAACTGAAAGCCAAGCCCACTTCAGAATATGTAAGTTAGTTAGTTAGAGAGTAATATCCAATGATAGGCCTACATTCTCATTAATTATAAATAGTAGTTACAATCTCTTACTTAACATTATAAAGTTGAATGTATTATTCACACTCTCTTACTTAACATTATATAGTTGAATGTATTATTCACACTAAGTCTATATTATTCAATATGGCACATCCAATCCGCCAATGAGTATAAGACCAATGATACTTTAATTTAGCATTCATAATAAGTAATTTAATAAGTATTATAAGTATTATGCATATTAATATCGCAAACTTGCTTTTATTTTATTGCAACCAACTTACCAGGGTGTTTGTTGTTAATATTGAAACCTTCATGGAGCCGTCGATCAAAGGTTGCAAGATCATTGAACCGTAATGCTTGAAATGCTGTATCTTCATCATCAGGAATTATGACATTTTGTTCATCAAAAGGAATAGGATAAAGTAATGGATCGAAAACATTATCAACACTATCATTACTATCAACATCCATTGTCGCCATTAACATTAATTAAAATTTAATAAATAATATCAATCAAGATTCAAGAGGACTGAATCACTGAATTGTAGACTGTTTTAAGTTTTACTCAGTTTGAGGTAACGACAGATAGTCTTGTCAACGGTGGATACACAATATCACAATACTATATAATAATTATATACATACTATACTATGCTTAGATACTATAGACTATAACTATAGTCTATAGTCATAGTAGTATAGTAAATTATAGTGACTATAACTTTATTTTTATACTTTTAGTTTATAATAACTATTATTAGAGCTAGTTTCAGCAGATATATCCAATTTTAATGAGCTGTACTGTAGTGAAGTTGTAGCAGCCAGTCTTTATATACGTTATGGTCTCAAGACTAAAAAGTAGTATTCGTCATTCACGTTATTTCAAAAATCAAGAAAATAGGTCATAGTATGGCAATCATCACAGTGTGTTACATATAGCAGACCATTTCCTTTTCTGTGTTTATTAATCCTTAAAAGGGCATAACCAAAAATGGTCTCTCTTAATACCGAGATACAACGAAGTTAAATGAAATTTCGATCGTCTTATTTCGACAATTAAAAAATATAAATCGGTGTTAAAGCTGTAACACTTTTATAATATGAAATATCGAAATCTTAATGCTTTAAAAAAAAAAAGTTTCAAGATTCAAAAAATAGAAATATATATATATATATATATATATATATATATATATATATATATATATTTATATATATATATTTATATATATATATATTTTTAAGGCTAGGCCAATTACCGTAACTGGAACTGTAAAGACGATGCGACCTGAAAAGTTTTCTTTTAAGATCAAATCTTAAATGTGAATTTAATGAAAATATATATTTGGTATTACAATCTGCCAGTTTCTTCTGGTTAACACTTTCAGGCACTGTCTTCGTAAGCAGGAGCATCAAAGGGTTCTAATGTGATTTGGCTAAATTGGCCCGGGCTCCTGGACAGTGGCGTCACTAGGGTGGAATTAGACGGTGATGTAAACTCATGATTATGATGTCACCTTTCCGGACCCCGACCAGTGGCTTAGGAAAGGGGTTGTGAGGGGGCGGTCGCCTCAGACGGCACTTGATTCCTTGAGGACTGGTATTTTTCGGTCCACTGCAGAGTCCATTTTTTATATCTTTTTTGAAGGGGCCGACAAAAAGCTGTCTCCGTGCCGTAGCCTTGGCATTTCAATTAAACGTTAACTTTCAGATTGTAGTCAGCATAGAAATAGTTCAGTTTTGGAATGAAGACCGGTATTTTTTCTCTAGTCATTCCATTAGTAGACAGCAGACTCTTAGGGGGGACATCCATAAATGACGTCACGCTTATGGGGGGAGGGAGGGGTCACATTCTTGTGACGATGTATGAAAAGGTGGCGGGTGGGATTTAATCCCCCCCCCCCAACTTATATAAATTATATTTTAATACCGTAATAATTTTTTTTTAAATTAAAAATAATTAAATTTTAATAATTTAGTCGTTATATTTTTTTAGCTAACTTTCAAGAAACGATTTACAAAAAAAATAATACCAATACAAGTAAAGCGCAAGAAAATTCACCCCAAAAAATTACTTCCGCTAATCAAAATGCATAAAACTTATTTATTTTTTTAATAAAATCAGGAACAACTAGCACTGGCAGCAAATAACATTTATTTTCTGGGTCTTCCACACCACAGGGGATGTTTTCAGTCCTTTTTTAAGAACCACTTTTTCTGGGAAATGTTTCTGACACAGGGGTAATAATTCGATTTCCATGGGAGGTGATTTTTTTGTAAGGGTTTGCGAATGACAGTAGTGGGTGGTAGGATTTTTTTAATGGGGGGGGGGATGTAGAGGTTTGTAACGTTATATAGGAGAGGGGGGTGGTTCAAATGTTTTGTGAGGATTTGTGACGAAGGGGGAGGGTGGTAAAAATTGGCCAAACTTGCATGGCGTCATTTATGGATAGCCCCTAGCTTAAACAAAAATATCTCATACTTCATGTATGCTTTTTGATCTTGATCTTTAAGTTAGAATGAAAGCTTTGAATACACTCCAGCATCAACCCTATCATTTTCTTTCGTGCAGAAAAGCCTGGTGCCTCTTCATTGCTCCCCGCCATTTTCTTCTTGAACCTTATTAGGTAATGTATACCAAACGTTTCATCTCTTATTTAGCAGCTAGAGGTGCAAATCTATAGACAGTTAATACAACAGAGAACGCCTACATCTTACAAGCCCTTGGTCAGATTACACAGGATCACTTATGGATTTGGGTTAAATGACATAGAGCAGGAAGGTGTCTATCAATAGGCAGGTGACAACACGACCGCTCAAAACACCAGCCTACCCACTGCACACCAAGATAAGAAACGACTTGTGTTCAGTAGCTTGCACACGTGAATTTCGATCCGCAAGACATGTCCATACCCCTCTTAATTATAAGATACATTTATGCGTTATCATTTAGAAAAATCTTTGTTAAAAGATTCGATTTTTGATGGTAGTTAATAATATAAAGATATGTTCTTCTTTAGCTTTATATGTTACTCATCAGTGTTGCCCTTATTTAATTTCTTCTTCTTCTTCTTCTATATCTTAAGGGCCCACGATCAATTTATTGATCATTTTGGCTCCTATGCATGTAGATGGGATTTGCAATGTTTCTGTTACTGGTGGTGATGAGGAAATTATGCACTAGGGGTTTGAAGGCTTGAGGCAATAGACACAAATGCGTCTAGTGTTGTCGCCTCAACTGTTCCTTTTGAAAGATGGTTCCAGTCCCTGATTGTCTTGGGCAGGAATGAGCAGCTCCTATACTGGCTTCTTGCTGGTATGAGCCTGAATTGCCTGTCATGGCCTCGTCGCTGTCTATGGGGGAGAGGGACGAGTTTCTGTTTAATACTGGAACAGTGGACCAGCCCATTATTTATCTTGTACATCATGGAGAGCCTGGATTGTCGTCGTCGTTTCTCCAATGGTGACCAGCCTAGTGTTTCTAGCATGCTGCCAACACTAGAGGTATTCCTGTAGCGGTTTAGGACAAAGCGTGCTGCTCGTCGCTGGACCGCCTCCAACCTGTCAATGCTCTTCTGGGTAAATGGGTCCCAGACTGAAGATGCATAATCTAAAATCGGACGGATAAAGGCTTTATATGCTCTTTCTTTCACACAGGAGTTGCCAATCTTTAGATTTCGCCTTAAGAACCCCAAGGCTTGGTTTGCTTGGTTACATACATTGTTAATATGCTCGTCCCAGCGGACCTCTTTTTGAATGGTAACACCCAGGTACTTTATGGAGGAAACTTGCTCAAGAATATGGCCATGCAGTAGTTGATGATAAAATTAATCAGAGGTTTAACTGCACATGACAAGAAAATCTTCTGCGGTGGCTAAAGCTTCGTAAGTAATTATTTGCCTTTCAAACAAAAATCTGTAAAAATACAATTACATCGATTTAATGAAACTTTTCCAAAACAACCACCCCACCACACACACAAACACAAACGCATTTTTAAAAAATATATATATATTGATGAATTGTAGAACATTTCACATTTTGTATAGATTTTATTATTTATTTATTTTTGTTAATGACGTGGATATGAATTTTTAGGGGGAAAATACCTTACATTTTTTTTTTTTAAATTTTATGAATTTTATGCATATATATTATGTCGGTTTATTTTAGTACTAGTAAAATTTTATTCTATAACATTTCTAATTCGTATGTCTTATGTTTATATAATAAATATATACGCTGTTTTTCTATAAAGTTTCTAGTTCGTATGTTTCAGACGCATATTCCGTCTCAAATGACGCAGACTCATCTTTGTATTTCCCAAACAATGCTGTTGATGGTATTAATTGTGGATATGGATAGCACTTTCTATGTCAAATGAATCATCAGTGTTAAATCATAATTATCTTGCTTTTGTTAAAATCAAATAAAATCATGCCAACTTTATTATCAGTGAGCAAGGCGTCTAAAAACTTTTTACCAGGTTTGCATCTGTGGGTTGGCCTATTTACTCGTCCATCCTTCTCGAAACGCATGTTTTAACGTTTTAAATAAATAAATGAAATTGATGTTAATAATAAGCCAACTATAATGTTATAAATAAATTTGCTTTCAAATATAGGCCTATTATACAACTACACCGATGATAGCGTAGCGTCAACATTCTTTTATTAAGCACTTTGGGGTTAACCTGAAGTTTGGGCATCGTAATCTTGCTGTCACAAGTGTACACCCTCAACACACATATTTTCTTTCTGACGTTCAGATAAATAGTTAATATATATTATTTTCTCATATAGATGTAAATGCTTACATTGTAAAAATAACATATATCTACATATATAAATTTGTATTGATTGGATTTAATTAGATTCGATTTTGATCAAATTAAAGCATAAAGTGTCTGTCCTTGTGTTCAATAAATCTCTTTTTAGAGCAAGAATGTTAGTTTACACGGTTACTGAGCGCGAATTGGTGCAGTTATAAGGAATTTTAAATTGTGTGCTATGGCTATTGAAATCTGTGTTAAGTGGTCAGTTTAACTCATTCTTACATGCCATGACGAATGTAATGATATTACCGAGATGTTACGAACCGATTCTACCAAATGGTTCGATGGCTACGTGTTGTCTAGGGGTTGATTATATGAACATCCCAAACCATTGATTATTAGAACGAATACAGTATCTTTATTCACATAACTGAATCGTCAGCTGCCATGACTCGATCAAACAACACTCTACACAATCATAATGCGTCATTTCCCCTTTCGCACAATACGTCACAAAATCAACAACATTTTATAGCAACATCTGCCCAAATACTCTCCAAACAACACGCAATCACAATATCCATTCAAGTTCTTAACACGAGATTTACAATGGTAGTCATCTTGTAGGCATCTTGAGATACTTTCTACCTTCTTTTGCCAAGTATATCATTTTAAAAAAGCAACACTAGATACGACAATGGTTCAAGCCATTGACATGTAGATCTAGAAATAGTTCATCAATCTTTCCTTAATTTTAGAAGGAAGCATATGTGTAATGATGTTTGATGGATGGGACACGTAGCCTGTATGAAAGACCACCGGCTCCAAAAACAGATATTCTTCGGAGAACTCACGATAGGCAAGCGCTCCCAAGGAGGTCAAAGAAAGCGTAACAAAGAAAGTGGCACTAAAGGCCTTCAGCATCAACCAACCTCAACAGCCCAGGACAGAGCCAGGTGGAGACCAGGTGTCAAGAAGGGAGCTAAATCCTATGAAGCTAATAGGATAACCACAGCTGAGACACGAAGGCTGGCCCGAAAGAGCAACATTAGGTCACCGTCTGCAGCAACTATCCCCTGCCCGCGGTGCCAGAGATTATTCCGAGCACGGATCGGTCTAGCAAGCCACCTACGAGCTCACCGTAAACCCCCTCACCCCATCCCCCCCCCTTTAAA